AGGATGTTGTCAAGGAATCCTTCTAGTTTTAGACATCCTCTTTGTATGGATTCTTCTACCACTTCTTTGCTGGCCCACATCTCTGGGAACGCTTGGACGTCCCCGCGTATGGTGATCAACGAGAACCATGCCTTCAAGTATTCTCTTTCCGCTTCCGTGAGATCCACGTGTTGACAGAGTTCTTTCACCCTGAATGTTCGGGAATAGTTGCCTCCCATGAGGAAGCAAAACCATCCGTGGCTNNNNGGGGTGATACTCTGTAATTTTCCTCTGAGGATAGCATAGTGGATATGCTTAGTGTCGGTGAGGGTGTTGTATATGTATAAAGCCCTTCTGGCTCTGAGTTGCAAGTCGATATCGAGCACTCCGTAGCCTCCATTCTCCTTTAATCCGAAGACTTTTTCCTTGCCAATACCTGGGAAGACCCAGCTAATTTTTTGAGTTAGCTGTTGAAAATGGTATGTGCCCAAATGTGCTTACGTAAAATATACTCAATTTTATCATTTAGTTTTCCATCAGTTTAAGCAGAAAATAAAGCCTGGTTAGCTCAATCGGTAGAGCGTTTGACTCTTAGAATAGACATCAAAAGGTTGCGGGTTCGACCCCCGCATCGGGCTACTTTTTTTGACTACACTTTGGGTAATCGAATTTCAAAGCTCTGGGAAGCATCAATATGCATCTACGAGTTATCAAAGTAAAACAAACCCTTTTATTCTTTATATTTTCGAGCCTAAATAACACGCCGGAAATCTAGCACAATGACAATTTCCACCCAAAGTCATTACATATATCTATCCAATCGATACAAACACCACCAGTGGCATTCCTTCTCCAGCTTTCTTTAACGATATGCCATATCCTTTTAACATTTCCAACTTTGTAACTGGAGTATATCTTTTGGAATTTTTTATCCAAGATCATTCGATCATACTCATTACAGCATGATATCCCACATATTAAAAGTGACATATTAAAAGCCCCCTTCATATAAGTCTCGATCAATTCATCAATTATTTTGAGTGAGGAAAGGAGAAGATTTTGAACTTCACTCGAATTTGGTTGTAGTTGTTTGAAATATAATGCTAAATACATCTTGGACGTTATTCTGTATAGCTCAAACAACTTTAAATGCTTTTCTTTCTCTTCTTCTGTGGGCAATTGATCCAACTGGGATTTCAAAGGTTCGCAGTACCTGACCTTGTTTGCCAATTCATAGTGAAATTGGTCGATAACCTCATAATGATTTAACCTTCTTGAATGAATCTGAACAATATTTTTTGCTTCACCAGAATTGAGTTCCTTATTTAGTTCAGTGGTTGCACTTTTGACTTTGGCATAACAGTTCATAATTTCTCCCAATAATAACACAATAGGTTGGATACATCCTTGGTATGGGTCTATGCCATACTCTTCATCTCCCGAAGAATTTTTGGTTTGAAAGATATCATTGTAGTTGCTTAGCAAACATCTAGTTCCATTTGTGAGGGTCTCAGAAGACATCACATCATGGAATTGGAAATTTGCTAGTAAGAATTTGCAATCATTCGAGTAATTAAAATCCTTTATAAACTTGCGAACCCCACCATACGCTCCCAAAAGATCACAACATTTGTTGAAGATAGTATGCCAATTTTTGGTATCGCCAGAACATACTTGAATACCAATGTTTATCAAATAGTACGCCAAAGTGACAAAGTAGTCATACTTATTCAATAAAGACTTATTTGCATAATCCTTTGATCTTTGAAGATACTTGTTCACAATCTCGTGGTTTGCATCACTATGGAAGAGAGCACCCCATGCAGCCAATGCATTCAGAATTGACTCATTGCTGACTGCTAAAGTAAAGAATGTTTTCAAAAAGTAATTGGATGACCGTGGACTTACCGATAGTAGATTGGCAACATTACTTTCAAAATAATTTAGATAAACAAGCCCCTTATCATCGAGAAAAAGATTAAATGATGAAGAAGGTTGAACTAGCATGGGGGTATAATTACTGAAAATCTCATTAAGAGTGAATTCGTTTAGAAAATCAGGCAACGGTGATTGAACTCTGCTCAAAGCTAGTTGACTGTCGAGATTGTCTGTTTTATCAGTGAGTTCATCCTCCAAAAAACTTGTCAATGATTGGGCATTTCCGGGTGTGTAGTCATGTTCTATATTGCGAGGGATTTCAATGATTTCCTCTCTCAGATAAGGCTCAGTATCTGAAGGTTTCTTTTCATTGTAACCAGGATCGAACTCATTAAGTCTCCCACCTTGGCCTTGGATCAGTTGAATTAGATCCGTTGGGTTCATCACTCTAGGATCTTCCATCCTTGCTTCGTTCTTGACCTTGATCTCAACCAACCCATAATGCTTGATTTCCCATTCACAGCTAAGTCCTCTTTTCTGGCAGAATACGCAAACTGGACGGGCCTCGTCACATTTTTTCTTTCGTTTCCGACAAGTTAAGCATCCCGTTTTTGATCTTCGCTTGGTGGGTTTCTCTACTTTGGAAACTCCTTCGGCCCGTGAGCTCTTGGAGTTCAAATCAAGTGTAGCAAACATGGAAGAAAGTTGAGTTTCTATAAGGTTCTAGAGTGTAACAGGCATAACATCACTCCCAACCACCAGGTATGTCGGAACAAGAGTTGATGATGTCTCGTATGCGCACGACCGGGATGAGGATGATTCTCTCGGCATCTCGGGAGTGCCTCGCATGGTTAAGACACGGTACGAATGGCCATGTAAAAGAGCAATATACAACGTAGATTACAATGGCACTTGATGTCCTTAAGGTGTTAGGCTGTATCATAGGGCCAATCAGCTCAATGATAGGTAATAGACCCTGAACTGTTGGGCAAAGAAGAGGCAAGAAATATAACGCCGCACGCCTGTCACATATTACTAAGCGATGCCTACCTAACCGCAACTAAAAGTTGCGAAGGCCAACGAAGGAAATTGTTGGTGAGACTGTGCATAATTGCTATTTTTGCAGCGAGCTTGTTTTACTGAAGTGATTGTACTGGTTGAGAGTCTCAAGGGGCTAGTTAGATCTTTATTAGTTTTTAAATTGTTGCAAAATTTTCAAAAAATTAGCAAAAAAAAGAACGAATTATTCGAGGATTAGTAGAAACGCCAATAATCCTTCATACAAAAAATACTAGAACCCTTATGAGTATTGATTATTGAAAAGGTTATAACAATTGTTAGAGATTGCTATCCTTACAAATTTCCCATTGTTTGACAACCATCAGAGCAGCTGACGAAGTTGATTGAAAAGTGTACAAATTCCTCATTTTAGTCTGTGTATTAGTTTGAAAAAATACTATTATCAAATACAAAAAGTACGAATAATTGCAAGATGCCCCTATACTCCAATATTATCCTGAATATCACTGAGTACACTATCGAGCTAGTTCAATTGGACGTAGTTTCCTGGGAAGACACCAGTTTGGCCATTGTATCTGCCTGTCCACCAGCCGTTCACATCATTGGTCTTTTCCACAATCTCAATAACGGCTCCTGCAGCAAAGGTCAAGTCACCTTGTGCTTGCGCAGTGTAATCATATAATGCAGTGCACGTTTGTCCCCCCGCACTTGGAGCAGGCGTAGGAGGAGCAGGTGCTTGGTATGCTGGTGCAGCTCCGTACCCAGTTGCAACAGGGGATTGGGCACCATATGCTGGAGCAGCAGCAGCAGCAGCAGGAGTTGCTCCATACCCTGTTGTAGCTGGAGATTGAACACCATACCCTGTTGTAGCTGGGGACTGAACACCATAACCTGTCGTGGCCGGGGATTGGACGCCATACTGAGGAGCCGCTGGCTGCTGGCCATATCCCCCATAAGCTGGAGCACCAGCAGCTGCGGGTGCTTGGTAACCTGGTCCATTGGGGTCCTTATAATCACCGTATTGTGGTTGTTGGCCATATTGTGGTTGCTGACCATACTGAGGCTGCTGGCCGTATTGACCATAAGCTGGTAACTGTTCAGATCCTGGGGCAACTGGAGCACCTCCGTTCATCATGGCATGACGTCTCTTCGTTGCTTCCAACTTGTTCTTAGCATGGCCTACCTTGAAGTGAGTGATTGTGATAGCATCAGTCTGTTCCTCTATGTTTCCCTTCTTGTAGTTATAGGCTTCCACTATGTCACTGGTCAAGTCGAAGTAAGGAATCTTCAATTCTTCCATTCTATTGTATAAGGTGTAAAAGATATTCAATTGCATGTAGTAGAAACTAACAAACAAAGGCTTAATAAAGTCCGACTGCATTTGGAACAAGATTGGAAGCTCAGTCTTCAACATTTCGTTGTAGTAGTCATACTCCTGTTGTGCCACGGAAACCTCGGCCTCGGCAGAGTACATTTTCTCTTCATCCTTGGCAGTTCTCTCCTTCTTGTCCTCATACTTCTTAAAGGTTCTCTTGTGGCGATCCAAGTCCACCTGCTTGTGGTCTCTCTTGGTGGCCATCCTTCTGATGGCCTGGATGACTTTGAGCAACTCTTGGGCTGGTTGAACGATTCTCTTCTCGATCAACTCCAAATCAGGCTTCAACGTTTCCTTCAACTCCTTAACCACCTCCCGGTACTGTTCCGAAGCCTTGATACCTTCGGGGTTGTCTTCTGGCACTGTGGAAGTGGGGTCAGACAATCTGCCACTGATAGGCTTGTAGATTTCCTCGATGGCCTTGGAGAAGTCGATCTGGTAGTCCAACATCCCGTTGACGGCTGCGAAGTAACGCTTGGACTCGTCGCTCAACTTCTTGGTTTCCACTTCCAATTCTTTGAATCTTCTTTCTGCATCCAAGTACACTGGGTCCTGGGTGACCTCTCCCATGTTCATTTTTTGCCGAAAATTTTGGGGCGCCCGGACAATGGACTTCTTGATACCTTTGAATGACATGCTGGTTGGATTGGGGTCTCAATGGGATGGTATGAACCGCAGGTGGTACTAGCTCGTTTCAGATTGTGGTGGTGGGCCAGAAAAATGACCATTCACTGAGAGGGCGTGCGCAGCCCACTCACCTTAGGGGAAGGAGCCGGTTCTGGCGGAAGAGGGCAGGGAGGCCTCCATGGGCAGCTTGAGTGGCGTGGCATTCTGTGGACGCTGGGAAATCGACAGTACTATGGATGGTGGTATGGGTGTTGTAATAGTCTGGAAAATTTTTGTAGTTGTATTAATCTGACTAAAATTAAAGTAACTACGAGTTGAAGTACGGATGTTCTGCAGCCGCTAATTACCAGATAGCTTTGAGAGGATAGTAGTATATTCTTTAGAGTTGAAAATGACCCGATAGCTTCTAGTCTACAAGAGTTTGTGCTGATAATTAATGTTCTGCCTGTAGCTGTATGACTCGAAAATCTACAATCGTGTGTCTATATATAGCTGTTCACGAATGGATAGGATGAAGTCGACAATAGCGTGTTCTGATAATACATGCTCTTGGAATAGATACTAATCGCCCGGCTAAACTCCACAGAACCATAATTCATTAGTGAGTAATAAAAGCGAAGTCCAAATTATTGTGCAAGCAGTAAATAAATCTTTACGGTGCATGCTGCTGTGAATAGTGATTTTTCTGGGCTACAAGCAGCTGGAGCTCCTCAAAAAAGGACACTGTAAGACATCAGACATCAGATGCTGCTCCAGGAAGATGACCATTCGGGAATAAATGACCCGTTCTGATGAGTGCCAATAACTTACGAGCCTCAGCCTCACAGAATACTACACGTGAGTAGATTTTGACTCGCCACATCAATTTCGAAGCAAGCCAAGATCATCTGAGATTTGCGGATGCTCTGCTCCGTGAAAAGACTCGGAAAGGCAGTCCAGTAGACTCCTCAGTGACTGCAACATAAACACCCGCACCTCGGCACTCTGGACAGACACCATCTGGCCCCGCCGTTTCGAGCCCACTGCCTGCCGGGTTTTAAAACGGCCTCGGGATTTGGCGGTTACGTGATCACCACAAATTTTTCTTAAGCGCGGATATCATCTGATACAAATCTACAGTTGTATCCGTTGTTCCTCTCTCCCTCCACCTCCCACACCACTCCTTCGCCATGGCCATTCCACGTATGGAAGACTTCGACGTCTTCCCCAACTCAGGCTTCTTGCCGGACAAGATGCCGCTCTCCAGACTCCCCCAGCACTACTACACGCCATGGGAAGACTTGGTAGCAAACCTCCCGTCGTTGATCTTGACCAAGCGGGTCAGATCCATCATAGACAAGCTTGAAGTGTTGCAGACGCTGCAGTTGACCTCGGTGGAGCAGTACAGAAGAGCGTACACCGTACTTGGCTTTTTGGCCCATGCCTACATCTGGGGCACCAGTGAACCCACCAATAAACTCCCCCAGCAGATTGCCAAACCGTGGATAGAAGTTTCTGAGTACCTCAGGTTGCCCCCTGTCGCCACCTATGCGGGGTTGTGTCTTTGGAACTTCAAGCAGATCATTCCAACCGCAGAAAACGAGGACATCTGGGATTTGGACAACTTGACCACCATAAACACGTTCACAGGGTCGATTGACGAAAGCTGGTTCTACCTCGTGAGTGTGTACTTCGAGTACAAGGGCTCGTTTTCCATCAAGGCAGGATTGGAGGCCATGAAGCACGCCAACAACAAGAACGTCAAGAAGTTGGTCTCCGTGTTGCAGAATTTGGCAGAGTCCATCGACCACTTGGGGTCTGTTTTGATGAGAATGGAAGAGATGTGCGATCCTCATGTGTTTTACTACAGAATACGCCCTTACTTGGCTGGGTGGAAGAACATGGGTGATGTTGGCTTGGATAAGAACGGGGTGGTGTACGGCAACGAGCCTCAGCCACGAACCTACTCAGGAGGCTCCAACGCTCAGAGCTCTCTTATCCAGTTCTTGGATGTGTTGTTGAGCGTCAAGCACTATTCTACCGGAGAAAGACCCTTGCCCCACGAACAAAGAAGCTCCAACGACAAGCCTGAAAACGGGTTCATGAATGAAATGCGTGATTACATGCCTGGAAACCACCGTGATTTCTTGAAGAAGATCGAGGACTCTACCACTATCCGTGAGTTTGTGTTGGAATCGAGAGATCCCGAGTTGACTCTCAGTTACGACGCCTGTTTGGCCATGTTGAAGCTGTTCAGAGACAAGCATATCCAAATCGTGACTAGATACGTTGTTCTCCAAGCAAAGAAGTCGCAGTCGGCTGGCTCTTCGAGCACTTTGAGATCGGGATTGGCTAAGATGAAGAGAAAAGGCGCCGAAGAAAAGGGAACTGGGGGTACGTCGTTGTTGCCCTTCTTGAAGCAGTGCAGAGATGAGACTGGTGATCCTGCTGCCGGTAACTGGGGTAAGAGAATCCTCAGTGATGGAGTGATGAGATTGAAGTTTTCTAAACCTAGTGCCATCAATGAAGACTAAAGTAATAGACTTCATAGCTGAAAATTCAGTGTAACAATGAAGCAGTGGAAGGAACGACAAATGGACCACTTAATGAGATTCCTGCCTTGGTTTGGAATTATGCTATTCCAAAATCTAAAATACATCGTGTATTGGTCCGATACACGATGGCATTTTTGTGCTCGAGCATGTCACCCATACACTGGCTCTCTCGACGATGTTTACTTGAGCTTGAGGGTGTCACATGCACGGTAATGCTATTAAAAACGACAATGTGCCCAAGAGTAGTGTAGGCCAGTTCTGTGCTACTGTGGATGGACAACTACCTCGGAAATATGCAAGTAGGACATTATCCATAGATTCTACATCAGAGTTGATTCCAGGCAGCAAGCAGATTGTCGACGGAAGTATATCAGACTTCCGTTACAATTCTAGACTTGTTTTTGTCCTCAAAACTAGTTGGCGTTTATTACTTTGATGCCCTTGGCAATCTAATACAGTTTGACTAGATCCTTGTTTTCTTGCCAGAATTGATACATTAAGTGGTTGAGCGCAAGCACAGCGTTTTCATGCTTCCGCACACTGGCCACCAGCCCTCTGACGGCTGTCCTAAAGTGCTCTTACATTAACTAAACCATTTACTAGATCTGAAAAAATCTCAATTTAAGGTGGTATATAGCTCTAATGCAAATATTGACGGCACTCTAGCATTTCAGTAGATTTTACTCTTCTCACCCAGTGAATTTCCCTCTTATTAGATATGACTCAAAATTCATGGTGCGAATTCACTGCTCCAACTTTTGCATTCACTCGAACGGTAACAGTAGAATCAGCTCCAATTTAATTAATAGGTTATCCTACCGATACACCTTACCCAGTTCTCTCGTATCTCATCCCCTCTCTACATACCCCAACTCTGAAACTCAGTGAAATGTCCAAAGATGTCCTCCAGTCGACTGGGCCCTCCACCCGCACTGGACGCAAAATGAAATGAAAAAATTTACTCACGACTCATATGTTCAAAAGGTTAGCCATACTATCGAGAACTGTCAGAACGATGTCGACCGAAGCTGTTGCCCAGACCCCCAAGGCCCCCAAGGCCAACCCTCCTAAGGAAGGAGGCAAGTCCAAGAAGTCCAAAAAGTCCGACCAGTTCTTGTTGAAGACTCCAAAAGGTACCAAGGATTGGGCCGATAAGGACATGATCATCAGAGAGGGCATTTTCAGCTCGTTGACCCAGCTCTTCAAGAAGCACGGTGGTGTTACTATCGACACCCCTGTGTTCGAATTGAGGGAGATCTTAACTGGAAAGTACGGTGAGGACTCCAAGTTGATCTACAACTTGGAGGACCAGGGTGGTGAATTGACCTCGTTGAGATACGACTTGACGGTGCCTTTCGCCAGATTCGTGGCTTGCAACAGCATCAGCTCCATCAAGAGATACCACATCGCCAAGGTCTACAGAAGAGACCAGCCTGCCATGACCAAGGGAAGAATGAGAGAGTTCTACCAGTGTGATTTCGATATTGCTGGGAACTACGACACCATGGTGCCTGACTCGGAGGTCTTGAACATCTTGTGTGACGGTTTGACCAACTTGGGCATTAACGACTTCAAGATCAAGCTCAACCACAGAAAGATTTTGGATGGTATTTTCCAGGCCTGTGGTGTCAAGGAAGAAGACGTGAGAAAGATCTCATCTGCCGTGGACAAGTTGGACAAGTCCCCATGGGAGGTTGTAAAGAAGGAGATGGTTGTGGAAAAGGGCCAACCGGAAGAAGTTGCCGACAAGATCGGAGAGTTTGTAAAGTTAAATGGTTCGATCAGAGAAGTGTTGGAGCAATTGAAGAGCAGCGAAGCTTTGAGTACCAACGAGTCTGCTCAGAAGGGTATTGAAGAGATGGCCATTTTGGCTGACTACGTCGATGCCTTTGAAATCAACAAGTTCATCAGTTTCGACTTGTCATTGGCCAGAGGATTGGACTACTACACCGGCTTGATTTACGAGGCCGTGACCGCTGCTTCCGCTCCTCCAAAGAATGCCAGTGAATTGAAGGAAAAGGCCACCAAGGATGCCAAGGACGCTAAGAAGGACGATGAAGACGCTTCCGAATACGTCGGTGTTGGTTCCATTGCTGCTGGTGGTCGTTACGACAACTTGGTGGGTATGTTCTCCAACGGTAAGTCCATTCCATGTGTGGGTATTTCTTTCGGTGTCGAGAGACTTTTCTCGATCATCAAGGCCAGAGTTGCCAAGCAGTTAGATGCTATCAGCTCCACCCAAACCCAAGTCTACATCATGGCTTTCGGGGGTGGTGAAGGTTGGAACGGTTTCTTGAAGGAGAGAATGAGTGTCACCAACCAATTGTGGAAGGCTGGTATCAACAGTGAGTTTTTGTACAAGAACAAGGCCAATATCCGTAAGCAATTCGATGCTGCTGAAAAGTCGGGTGCTAGAGTAGCCGTGATTTTGGGTAAGGAAGAGTTTCCAAAGGGTGAGGTTAGAATCAAGACCTTGGGCCAAGGTAACGACAGTGACGAAGGTGAGTTGGTTAAGACGGATGACCTCATCCAGGCTGTCCAGCAGAAATTGGCCGACCTCGACAAGGACGGTTTGGATCAAATAACCAGATTGATCAAGGCTATATAAGCGGATGGGATGTTTATTGTAAGTATATACATAATAGAATTATCTTCTACGAGAGACCGCTAAATATTGGCACTACGTCAAGAAGATTGTTATTTTCAATCTAGGGTAAAAGTTGTGAACTTGGATTACCGTCAGTTGGGGCCAATAAAAGGCTGGTAACAACTCTGCAACTAAATCTAGAACCTCTAGCACTCACATTATGGTATGTTTTGGACCAGACTCTGCTGCTTAATAATATTCAGCGATATTCCCATAATTTTCAGTAGTAGGATATTTTCAAGTAATCCCGTTTGCGTAACACACTCATGACATAGTATCTTGTCAGCTAGGTAATTAAATCATTATGGAAATTAAAACATCCAAACGAGCCAATTACAATACAAGTTATCTCTCTACGAGAAGAGCAATTCCATTCAAAGTATATACACAAAGTCTCATCTCCTGTATGCTCCTAAATGTCTAGTTCATGTCCAATCTCTGGGTGACCTTATGGCCGTGCTTTTGCTTACCCACTCTCTTGACTCGGTTCCACAATGTGTTGATATCGTTGAAGCAAAACCACCAAATGACACCACACCACGAATTAACCTGGGGCAACGGATCGTAGAACTCAGCTGCTATTTTCCGCAACTGGGGGAGCTTGGACCACGCAATGTATGGGAAGTCGTGGTGCTCGTTGTGGTAACCCACATTCCAGGTCAATTTGTTTAACGAGCCATAGTAGGAGTAGGTTTCTTCGGGAAGCTTGCCAATATTGGAGCCCTCCACGATGTTGGCATTTCTGGGCTTGTTGTTCTCGTTCAACACGTAGTGTTCCGCAATGAAGTGGCCAGCACAGGGATGCAACGACCCCGCCAAAAACGAGCTCATGATGAAGTACGACAACGTGTGCCAGCCCCAGCTGGAGACCATGAGATAGTCTACAGCCACCTGGACAGCAATGTTCAAAAGATGGATGTAGGTGAACTTGATCTGGGTGATGAACATGGGCCTCAAGGCGTAAAAGAAAATCTGGCAACAGGCAAAAAACACCTTACCAAACACGTTACTGAGGAATAAGCCCTCCACACGCGTGGGCAAGTCGGTGTCCAAGTACTCGTCGCCCAAGAACTTGTGGTGCAATTGGTGGTAGGGTTGGAACGAGGCTGAGTAGGGAATGCCAATGGGCAAGTTGGCGAAAATAGCAAAGATCTTGTTGTGGAACGGCTTTCTGAAGAAGAGGTTGTGGGACAACTCGTGGATGGCCAAGAAGAGCGCCTGGTTGGCGGTGGCACCAATCACATATGCCAATGCGATGAACTTAGCACTGAAAACGGGAGTATTTCTGAGGTAGTACGCTACGGCAAACTGCAAAAGCACCACACCACTGGCGTACCACTTGGAGGACGGCTCGTGGCCTGTCAACTTGGTAACCTCGGGGTACTTGGCCAAAATCAACTTTCTTCGGGTCACATGGGGCTCGGTGTCCTTGGTCCAGTAGAACTCGTTCAAGAGCTCGATGGATGAGTCGGCAGCCGGGGTGTTGAAAGTGTAGGTCTCGTTGGAGGTTCTATGCTTGATGGTGGTGGAATCCATGACGAAGTGGTCAAGATATGAATTTTGAAACTGGTTTGAAAAGGTGAAAAAGCTCAGGTGGAGTCCTGGCTGAGGCAAAAATCGGGAGCTGGCAAAGAGAGTGCTATCGATGCTCCTGGAAGACTTTGACCGGGTATTTGGCTTAGAAAGAGTGTTGAATCACGCCACTTGTCTTTGAACACTACACCAATGGATCCAGCGATGGTGGGTCAGGTGACCGCGGACTCCAGCAAGGTTATACGCGAAACTTTTCAGACCCCTATCAAGGGCTCGTAATTCGCTGGAGATGTCACTTCAGCGTGTGACAGGAATGACTGTGCCTCTTTTTGGCGCAAAGCATGGAGCATTTATCTCGTCAATGAGTTGCCTATGTCGCTGATAGGATACTTCTGCTTTAAACTGGAAATACAGCAATAATTTATTGATTTCAGTAACCAAATAATTATACGACGTTCGGCTAGATGAATTTTGAAGTGCCCGTAGATGTGCCGCATAATCGTTTTAATACCGGTCAAATATACCTTCAATTAATGCTTGATAAGGATATACTTCAACCTTCCAAAGCTAGTTTATTTTTATTGTCAATCAACAGCTTTAGTAAGTCGAACATGTTCAATAACTGATTTTTGAAGCAATTAATGTTTGATTTTCCGCTTTATTAAGTTCATTTATCCATCAATTCGGTAAGTGTTTATTGCCCATCAACATAGTCCTGAATCGATATTCAACTGTGTTCATATAGCATATTTAATTGGTGCAATGGTGACTAAAATTGCCCTTGCATTGGTTTGCGCTAGCTATTGTATTTAGAGCGGAAAAGACTGAAACACAGTCATTTTTACAAGCTCCAAAATTACATCAAACTGATTCGACTTATTGGATTTCCATACCGTTGATATTATTGTACGACTTTATGGAATCTATAAATAATCTATGAGCAACATGGTCAAGCTACCGAGACACAGCTTATACCCCACACATTTGAAATACACATTTTTCAGACACAGTCCTCCTATATATTATTATATTGCGAAAACTGATTGTGGAACTGACTCTGGTCGTTTCCCTGATTCGGGTTGTATTGTGGAAATGGTGGATATTGAGGGTACCCTGGTGGTGGCATACTCAGCTGATAATAACCTTGTGTTGAGAAATTTGGATTGGGATTGTACACTGGCTGTGAGTGATAATTAAACGGCGTGCTACCCGCATCCATATTATTCGCAACAGGAGTTCCATATGGAGCAAATGGAACAAACTGCGATCCATACATTGGGTGGAACGCATTGTGGGTTGCAAATTGGGTTGCTTGAGGTGGGACTTGTGGATGGCCATAGACAGCGAACCCACCTTGCATAGGAGGGATTTTAAATTGAGTTGCATTGGGATTTGGAGTTCCCCAAGTAGAACCGATATGAGTTTTCGATTGAGAGGTGGAAGGGTTTCCAGAGTCATGGACTAATATATCGACCATGTCCTTTAACTCCTTTCCTTGACCATCTTGAGAAATTTCGACCTCACTACTGGATTCAACCACAGTATCCTCCGCATTGTTATTCAATTTGCCCTTCAATTGACTAGTATGGTTGAGAATAGACGATTCTATTACTTCAATGGAATTAAGAACCTTGACTTGACTCTCCAGGTCACTTTTTTCTGCAACTTCATAAATAGAATTCTCGATGTCCACATTAGTGGTGGAAGAAGTGTTAATGGCCTGTTGTACTTTTGAACTTTGTTGATCACTTTCTGGTGCCTTGTCAGCTTTTTTACCTTTGCCTTTCTTCTTCTCCTTCTTCTTCTCCTTCTTCTGATCTTTATCCAAACGCTTCTCATTTTGGGAGTCGTTGATATCCACGAGGTTTTGACTCTCTGCAATATCAACCTTCACAAAAGACTTGGAATCTTGGTCGTAGTATTTTTCAAAAATATTCGAACTAGAAACCAAAACAGCACCTAACCTCAAGTTGTTCTCATACCTCTCAATTTCCGCTGCAATAGCCAGAGGTTCAAGTTTATTAGAGGTTAATTGTTGGAGCTTCATTACCACTGAGTTGTCCAAGAAAGTAGGAACCTTCCCATCCATATAGGACGAGTAATCTCCCAATAACAAGTTGAAGTTCTTAGATTTGAATAGGTGATTGTCGTCAAAATCCTTGAACTGATACTTGATGACTGAAAAATCTCTAAATAATACATCTTCTCTGAAATAATAATTCCTTACTGGTCTTGATTTTGAACTCAATAACTCCGTAACTGTAGATCCCGAGGGACTATCTGAAGTCTCGGCCTGCGCGAGATATACTTTCAAGATCCTGATAAATGCCTCAACAGTGTACTTTCTAGCTTGAAATCCTCTCAATACAACATTATTCTCACTGAGCCACGTTAATATAAGTCTGGAGATCATCAAGGAATGGGTAAGGGAGTTTTGATTCAAATTAAGTGATGCCAAACCTTTTGAGATATACTCAATATACCTGAAAATAAAGTTGTGGAATTTAGTCGAAGTCTCGGACTTGCTGATCTTCTCAGACATAGAAACTGGCTTATCTTCTATCATCTTGTTCAATGTAATAAGGACAGTAATCTGTTTGATGAAAAAGCTTCCTGATGCGTCATCATCAATCTGATAGAGTTGTTCGAATGAGTCTAATAATGTGTTGAAAAACTGACCCTCAACCTTGGAGTATGTTAACTTTTTAACAATATTTGGTCCGTTCCTGTAAGTTCCTGGCAAGTAATAATAGCCAGCAAGACAAATCAACATAGTATTGAGATCATCAGCTGTATTAAAGTTAGATTTCATCTTCGGAGCATCATTCTTATCATGGAATAGCTGTAGCAATTCATTGGTGAATGTATCTTTGGATAAAATTCGATTAAGATTGGCTAAACCAAGCTGGAAGTCCGGAATTCTGGTGAACTGGGATCTCAATAACCACAATACCGCATTATACTTGTCCTCAATAATGTTAAAGATAACACCTATGTGATTGTATGGTTCATTCAAAGCTGGCAATAATAGAATACAGAATTGATAGTATTGAATCGATCTTTCAAAAAAAGGTTTCAATGCGATTGATTTTTCCTTTGCAGTCATGGACTTGTGTCTGAAGAACTCTTTGTTAGAGATACATGGATTAACAAAGGAAACTTCTATGAATGTTTTATGGCGGGATACGTCACCCAAAGCCAATAAACACTTGTGGATCAAATAAAGAATGTTTGCTTGCACGTTTGAGTCAGAAGTAGATTTCGCCTGTGAGCTGACATCAAACTTGAAATGGAGCAATAATGACTGAGGCAACAACGAATTTTGGTAGGTGGTAGCAAAATGCTTGAGAATGTTGCGGTAGAACTGGAACACGTCTTTGATGAGCTTGGTGAAGCTATCATTGATTTTCCTCATTTCCACGGGTTTCACTTTGAAACTGGAGCCCTTGGACCTGTGGCCCAGGTTGAGCGACTCCTTGAAGCTACTGTGTACTTGCTGGTAGTGGATGGCATGCTGTTGCTGGAAGAACTTGATGATGGGGTAGTGGAAGTCCAACCACAACTTCTCGAGCAACGAGATAGTGTCGAATTCTTCGAGCTGGTTGTTGGGGACTGGAGATTCCACGGAGTTGTAGTAGTTCAAGAAGTCGTTGGTGATCCAGCCTTGGAACTTGGATTGGACCATGGAGTTCAATCCCAACAAGCAGGTATGGTCAAGGAACTTGCGTTCCAAGAATGAGTCAAGCTGGGTTTTGTACGCCTGCGCTTGGGCAAGTATGTTTGCAGTCATGTTCAATTGGACAGTTGCAAAGGTTGGTTGGCGTCTAGGGACTTAGCTAATGGGAAGTACTGGAATGGGACGGTTAAACCTGGTGGCCTGGCGACAACGAGGGCACGGATGGACTGGTTGTACTGATTCTGGGTCTGCCGTGGGCTATAACATTCTATCGAAGGTTATAGTCGAAATTAGGTGGTTTGTGTTGAAATTTTTTTACTAGCAGTGTTTTCTGCAGTGGTGATGCTCACAAGAAGCTGGCCTGCATATTTGCCAAAGTGATCTGGCGGGTGTGCGACGCCATCGAAGGCGACGGGAGGCAAAGGCTGGTTGCCACCGGCACGATGGTATAAAGAGAGCTTAGCCCTTGACGAAACGAAGAAGGAAATCCTTACTGCCATAATTGGAACTAATTTTTGGAAGATAAACTGCAGAAGTGATAATCACAAGTTAGATAATTAGAGCCACTCCATATTGTTAGCCTTCACTAGAAGTGATAAGCACAAGTTCGAATATCAGAGCCATTCCAGGGTCTTAAACCAATCATTGTCGTTAGAGCCACTCCAGAAGTGAAGCCAATCTAGATACGTTCAGTTCATTTCCACTAGAAGTGATACAACCATCAAGCAGAAGTAATACGCTATAGATACTGTTAGTGATATTACACCTAATTGATAAGTCAATTAGGCCTAGAAGTGATATTCTCCCAGAGTGATATCTTAGCCACTAACGAAACTATTCCCATGGAAGACCCCGCCTACGCCGTCAAGGTCTACGTCTACGACCTCTCGCACGGCCTTGCAGCCGTGTACTCGCCAATGGTGCTTGGAACCACCATCGAGGCCATCTACCACACCTCAGTGGTGGTATACAACAAAGAGCACTATATCAACGCAGGAATCCAGGTGTCGCCTCCAGGAACCACCAAGTACGGTCTCCCCATCGAAGTCATCGACATGGGAGATACTTTCATCGGTCCTGAGATTTTTGACGAGTTTTTGGAAGAGCTCCGCAACCACGATCACAACAAGTACCACGCGTCCAATTACGACATCTTCGACAACAACTGCAACCACTTTTCCAACACGGTGGTGGAGTTCTTGGTGGGCCGCAGCCTCGACGACAGGATCGTCACCCTCCCCCAGAAGGTGTTGGCCACTCCCAACGGCCAGATGCTTCGCCAGATGCTTGGGAACGGAGGCGCCTGGGTGTAGCCAGGCGCTAGCCAGAGCCAGAAACCTTGCCACTAGAACAGATGGTTGTAGCAGTATTGGAGCTTTTACCACAGAATTGGGCCATTGCCACAGCTTTCGAGCATTTTGTTGCAGTCCTTTGCAATACTACTGGGTGGAAAACTCCCATTTATACTTCTATCCTCTTGGGAATAATCCCATTTATACTCCTATATTCAATGTAAACATCATTTAATATTAATTTACTCGCTGGAATACTCCATTTATATACTATTTTCTGTTGGCTGCAACCGCTTACGTAAGGTTTACAGCCATTCACCAAATGTGGTGGGTGGTTTACTGCCACCACCAAATATAAAGACCCCGTATTCCCCGTAGAACCGTCCCCACAATGAACGACCCCAGCCTCTACGACACCTTCAGCCAGGCCACCTCCCACACCTCGTATTCACAGGACACCCAGACGTCCAATCCGCTGGTGCGGTTCTGGTCCAGTACCACCACTGGCGCTGGGCTTGCCAGCGGCCCCGAGTTTCTCTCGGGAGACCCCCAGGACGTGATGAAGCCGTTCCATAGCCAGTCCAAGGGCCAGTTGAACATCAACGCCCCCAGTTACATCCCAGCCTACGCCAAAGAGCCCGTGTTCCCCGACGTCCCAGCCAGTCGCTTGCAGGCGGCAGAACAGGAGTGCCAGGAGTTGAAGGTGGAAATGATCCTCAAGAACCAGATGATCAAGAACCTCACGGAACAGTTGTCGGTCATGGACCACGCACGGTCGCAACAGATCAAGGAGTTGAGCTACCCACCTATCGTAGGCATGGACCAATCCATCCGCATCCCCCACAACCACTACCAGTTGTTTCAGGACTTGTCTAAGACCTTACAGGAAAAAATCTCGGAGTTAGAGGACACGCGGGAGAAATTGGAGACCTTAATCGTCAGTATATCCATGGGTACCTCGGGAGTGCGGTTCACCCAAGACGGCCACTACGACGAGCAGGAGCTCACGCACAAGATCGTCAGCAAGCTCCAGTTGCTCAAAGCCGAAAACGACAACCTCTTACATATGTTTAGCTACGGCACCACCACCAGTTTGATGGTAGAATTGGGATTGTTGAGAAACGAAAATAAAACATTGGTGGAACGGTTACGTCAGCAGGAGCTGCAACGCCAAGATACGCGAAATCAGGAATGAGGGTTTGCAGCCTTGAATGTGTTGCGCCACGGTGCAGCACGGGTAAGAACGGCCCTGGTTTCGGTCATGCACTACGTTACAACCCAAGGGTCCCCCTCATCGAGGTGACTGGTGACAGCTCACTCATCGTCAGCAACTTTCCCCCCAATAAGGAAAAATAGGAGTGGGTTGATGCGGAAGGGATGGATCTGATCTTGGTTAGCAGTCCCGGAATTGGCGGAGCCAACAACAATCGCTCCCCTCGCCCTTGAGTGCGCAGCAAATTGCGGTGCCGTTTGGGGACGCAATTGATCTAGAACTTGGCGGGGGGGTGCCAGGGGTCATTTTACGTAAGGAATTATTAAACTCGATGTATACCTGTCAGGATATTAAGGCGTAAGTCTAAAAAAAGAAATTACCCTACACGGGACGCCAGGAAGTTGATCCGAAGACATATATATAGATTTGCTTACATTGGCTCTTCCCCAACTTCGCTATATCAGATGTTCTAGGATGTCCTCTACCTTTACTTTCACCAAGGAAGCCATCCTACCAGCCACCAACCCAAAGTCCCCGTTCTTCGTGAACATCCCTGGCAATGATGCAAAGCCTGTGGATAACTTGATCAACTACTTCAAGTACTGGAAGTACTTTATCAAGTCGTTGATCCACTATTTCAAAGAAATTGCAATGGTCAAGGAGTTCGAGGCCAATCTCAACTACCAATTGATCAATTCCATCCTGTTCCCAGGATTCAAGGACTTGCCTGTTCGGGTGATGGACGAGATCAATAGCTCTAACCATAGCCAACATAGCCCTTCCAACTCGCAATCAACCACTCCGACCAAGGAGCACAATAGAAACCTTTCGACAACAAGCTTGACTACAGTTTCGTCTCATGCATCAACGAGTACTGGGGGTACACCCAACAACTCCGATGCCAAACGGCCAGGTCTTTTCAAAACCAAATCGAACAACTCGACCTTCCTCAAAAACATCAACTCACAAGGACCACATGCCCCCCTGAATCACAAGAAGAACTTGTCGCTTGGAGGTGCAAACTCGAAACCAAATCACGCCAATCACGCCCAAAGTGCCCACAACCACTATAACGACGTGAAGGTTCCATCACATTTCTTCCCCGATGACTCGTTGTTCAAGAACCTTCCTCCTCTCTTGTTGAATCAGCATCAAGTGGCATTCGGAAACAATACTAAAGCTTACAAAGACTTGAATGGCAAACTAATTCCTAGACTTGAAATGTTGTTGAGAAACTTATCTCATAAAATCAAAGAAATCAAAACCACTTTGAAAAACGAATCGTTTTCAAATATAGAATTGCTTAAGGAAATTAGTTCTACCGGAAAGGTGTTAAGTTCGTATTTGAATTCAGTGGAAAGATACAGCACCAAAGTTCCAGTATTGAAGAGGAAATTGCTCTCCGAAGAAGATAGAACTGACGATGATGACGATGATGGTGTTTTAGATGATCCTTTCTTGGTCAAGCTTCACGTCGACTATCAAATAAAGCATCAACTTTTAAATGAAAATTATATGTTTGCTTCTTATGTCAATCTTCAAAACATTTCCAAGGATCTCTTCAATTATGTTCTCAAAGAATTGAATGTGGTAGTTGACAAGTTTGGAAAATTACTGTTGAACCAAGAGTTTTATACTTTTCTTAAGGAAAAGATTTCAAACTCGTGCTCAAACGATTGGGAGTATTTTATTTCAATGAATCCTAATTTCTTGAACTTTTACAAAGATTCACCAGTTCAAAAGAAGAAAGAAACGAGAACATTTAAGGATATTGTCATTCCATATGCTGATTCAATCCATAATAAATGTATCAGATTTGGAGTTCTTTACAAGAAATCGAAACTTTTCAAGAACTACAATAAGTGTTACTATGTTTTGACATGTAACTATTTGCATGAATTCAAAATTGAAGGTGATGAAAATGGAAGTTCGGAATCTAAGCTCAAAGAACATAAATCGACTCCACCCAAGAAGAGCAAATCTTCAAAGGATAAGATTGGTGGATTTATCGGGCATGATGATGTTCCAACAAAATCTTACAATCTCAATGACCTTAGTATTAAGATTAAAGACGAAAAGGGATTCAAGTTCCAGTTAATCAAGAATTCCAACTCATCAAAGAAGCATACCTTCAAATGTTTGACATTGGGTGAATTCACCAACTGGTTCGGTGATCTTGAACAAATGTGCAAGTTTGGTTCCAAGCATACTCAGAGATTTCTTATGGTTCAATCCAAGATTGATCTCAAAGAAATGGAACTCGACAAATCCCAACAGTTGGGCCATTCTTCTCAAACTCATTCTGGATCTACTTCTAGTGCCACTAGTCCAATTAGAAAGTCTCTTAACAATTTTAAATTGAACATGGAACCAAATCATGAGCGAAGTTTATCAGCAATTTTCACACCAACCATCAAAACGCCGCTAAATCAATCGCCTTCGGAAGGAAATCCATTCGAGGAAACCTTCTTATCTGAAATGCCCACTCCACAAAATGTCCAGTCAACTCTTTCGTCGCCCAATCTCACCCCTGATGCAGCCCAGGTTTTGAATACAGCTAGTGGACTGGAATCATCTGATTCTAATACTCATCGTGAGCAGCACGAATCATACCTAAAGATGCAACAAGAAATTTTGAAACAGCAGCAGGATATCTTGAACCTCAAAATTAACCAACTTCCCGAGTCGTCCAAAGTGGACCAGACCCATTCCATGACGTCTTTGCCCTCGGCTGGAAACTTGTTTGTGCTTGACAATGGCTCCAAGGAAAGAGCCGCATTGTTATCGTTATCGAGACCCGCCTCCAACGATTCCATTAGTTCCTTTGCAGTTACGCCTGCCCAAGCCTCGCTGAGTGGGGTGCAATCACTTTTGAACGCCAATAGAGATTTGTTGAACAAGAAACCAGACCAGCCTGTCTACTTCGAGCTAGCTGGAGCCAGCCATCAAAGGTCTGGCTCATCGCTGTCCGAGGCTGCTGAACCTACCTACCAGTCGCCCGTGCCTAGGGTGGTGGTTTCCAACGATTAAGTTGCCATTTTAATTCTTCTGCTACAAACATCCATAGATTACATATACAATGTTACCGCACTCGTGGCTGTAGTACGTTTCCTAAGCTAATGGGATCTGAATTTCAACTTCGGTGAGAGTGGGTCCTTACTTCTTCTTTCTGAGCATTTCACCGTTCGTAGTTGATATGTGCTCTGGTATGACTAGCTGCGAAAAACGCCTCGTACGAGGCTGTGCATTTCAACACTCTGCTAATAGCCTCAGGGACTTTTCGTATCCTGAACAGGAATTAGAAGCGAAAAATCCACCAAGCACAAGCCTGCCGAGGCTGGCGCTGACAAAAGAACCGCCGCATTCCACCCTTGAAATGGGGATGTCACGCCCCAGCACCTCTTGGCCTATAAATCCTAATAATACCTGGCGCCAAAGTGCATGTGCTGTTGCTAGCCAGTGCTGGCGGTGCGCGCTGTCGGTGCGCGCTGGCGGGCCCAGTGAAACGGTCCCCTAAATCCTCGCTAGCGCGCACCGCAAACTCCCCTAGCACAGGCCGGGATTCCACGCGGGGCGGTGACGTTTGCTGGCGCGCATGCCAGCCATTACTGCGCTCCGCATCATGACAAAAATTCATACAGCAACAACTGGAACGTCTTCGTCAATTGCAATCATCACCATTCTTGCTGCCACTGCAATTGCACACCCTCGGCTACAAATACACCACTAAGCAGCCACAAGCACCCACAGCTGACAATGTCATCTTCAGGCTTCAAGAAAAACGAATCAGCAGTAGCGTCGGACTCCGAGTTCGACGACAGCACCCACGAGGTGCCTCCCAACCCACCAATCCGCAGGTCGTCGTCGTTGTTTTCGTTGTCGTCCAAGGACTTGCTCCCCAAGCCCGAGCAGAAGGAGTACGTGGCATTCATAGAGGACAACAGGCACTTCTCGTTGATTAGAAACCTCCACATGGCCGACTTCATCACCTTGTTGAATGGATTCTCGGGATTCTACTCCATCGTGTCGTGCTTGAGATTCACCTTGACAGGAAAGAGCCACTACGTGCAAAGAGCCCACTTCTTCATCTGCTTGGGGTTGTTCTTTGACTTTTTCGACGGCAGAGTCGCCAGATTGAGAAACAAGTCCTCATTGATGGGCCAGGAGCTCGACTCGTTGGCCGACTTGATTTCGTTCAGTGTCAGTCCTGCCACCATCGCGTTTGCCATTGGGTTCCAGTCCACCGTGGATGTGTTGATCTTGACTTTCTGGGTATTGTGTGGCTTGACCCGTTTGGCCAGATTTAACATCTCTGCCAACAACATCCCCAAGGACAAGTCCGGTAAGTCCCAGTACTTCGAGGGATTACCTGTGCCTAGCAACTTGGTGTGGGTGGGCTTCATGGCCACCTTGGTGTTCAAGGATTTGATCTTGGACGACTTGCCTGGAGGCTACTTGTTCCAAGGCACAGTGTTCGAGTTCCACGCCATTGCCATTGGTTTCTTCTTGCAAGGATGTGCCGAGATCTCCAAGTCTTTGAGAATCCCTAAGCCATAGTTAAAGTATAGTACACTACGATATTTTATTTAATGAATTTTAACTGGATCGACTGTAGAGCCTTCTTTATTTTATTCGTTTCTTCAATTACCAGAAGTGAGTTTGAATTAAGAAATATTTATTGTGTAGACAAATTAAAGGTTCATCGTGGCACTTTAGACTAAGGACTGCCAGAGAGGCACAGCCGTGCGAAGTGGAGATTTTTCAGATTAGAAGTTACAATTCACCGTGCAAACGTAGAAGTGTTCCCAATGACGAGGAGCCATCTAACATTCGATGCACATCTGCCCGGAATGAAACTAAAGAATGGCTGATAACTACCCAGCTAGAAACTCCTGGGCCATTCGCGGGTTATTGGCTCTATCTTGAATTAGCACCCTGTAAGCATTCTATTATGTAGGATCTTCAGTCACAGAGATAGTCCTGTAGTTCTGTGGATGGTATAGTCCCATTGATCGACCTCAAAATTCAATTAGTGCTTAAATAAATCGTTGTCCTTCATGTCTGGATTCTCCATAAATGTCGGACCGTAGCTTGTTGGGATTGTCTGTGGATGCCTTAATAAAGAATAAGATGTAGTTTGTTATACTAACACATACTCCTCAATAAACTATCAGCCGCGGTTTCATGGACTGTTCGATAGTTTCACCATAATTACCAGCTGTACTTCATTGGTTCTGGCTTCCATCTCATCGAACCGCAGAGAATTGAACATACATCTATCGATTAGCACTCGACCTCTTTACCATTACGATATAGTTGCTTGGGGCTGTTCTCCGGTTTTTCGATACATTCTCAGGCAGTTTCATGAACTGTCCCTTCGTGCTAGCTTCCATCACGTAGTTTCATGGACTTCACCCTCTCCCTTGGCTCAATCTCTGAACGACCCTCCTGAGTACGTTTGAACGTCCCTGAAATCCACGCCCTCGAAGCGTCCCGTCTGCAACTGCGCATACACCTCGGGGTCGAAGTTGTTGGGGTCCAACAACCCCACGTCCCGCACGTCCCACCGGAGCCGGTGAGGATGGTTGGCGATCTCCACGAGTCGGCACAACTCCCAGAACGAATCGTGCAACGGCTTCAACTGTGTCATGTACACCCAGTAGAACCTCCACGACTGCTGGCGGGAGCTGCCTGGCGCAATGCCTGCCTTGGAGCACTGCTGGTGGAACACTGCGAGCAAGTAGAGCAACTCGCGGTGGTGCTTGATGTGGTCCATAAGCGTATGGATCTTGTCGGCAGTAGACGCCTCTGTGGCCAACCGTGCCTGCTCATCGTCCACACGTTTGACGTACGCAAGGCTGTCGACTAGGATGTTTCTCCTGGCGAGAGTGCTGGTGGTGGTGGCAAACGTTCTCGTGGTAGTGGCAGCAAATGCTCTGGTGATGGCGGCAAACGTAAACGCCCTGGCACTGACGCCCAATCCACCACCAATTACACGTCCGCTGGCACCACACACGTCCCTAGCGGTCGCTAGTTGCCGTCCTGTGCCCATTCGAGCCATTCCCATTCGTATTCCTACCATGTCTCCAACGCACTACTGTCGTGGTGAGCAAAAATTTTAATTTCACTCACCATTCATTCTTCACCAACTAAATGATCCCGACCAGAGTGATGGCCAGAAGAGTCGGGGCCGCCTTGAGGTTCAGGGCTGCCCCCGCCAGAGTGGCTGTTCCGCTCCACAAGCTCTACTCCACCGAAAAGCCCAAGACTGATAAGAGCAACTCCATCTTGACCGAAGACATGTTGGCTAAGGCTGGGTTCGAAGGCGAACCCAAGCCAGAGGAAGAGCCCACCAGCGAGGGCTCCAGCGAGGGCTCCACCAGGTCCAGAAGAAAGAGAAGAGCTCAGACCTCCAAGGACCTCCAGAGAGAAAAGTATGCCAACTGGTTCTACATACTGTCGTTTCTCGGAGCTGGTGCTGGTGTCGGTTACATGACCCGGAACTGGGACTCGGAGGACGAGCAGAAGTCGCTCGATGGCCTCCAAATCGACAACGGCTACACCCCTGGCTTGATGTATGAGAGATTCAACAAGAGATGGTCTTCGTTGTTCACGTTCTTCTCTGAACCCATCTTCGAGCAGTTGTTGCCTCCACCAGCTCCTGAGGGCTACCGTCGTCCGTTGACGTTGGTGTTGACCTTGGACGACTTGTTGATCCACTCGTCTTGGGACTCCCTGAACGGTTGGAGAACTGCCAAGAGACCGGGTGTGGACTATTTCTTGAGATACTTGTCGCAGTACTACGAAATCGTGGTGTTTGCCTCCAACTACGAGATGTATTCTGAGAATGTGGTCAAGAAGTTGGACCCCATGCAGGCTGCCATCCAGTTCGCCTTGTACAGAGAGGGATGTCGTTACAAGGACGGTAAGTTGATCAAGGACTTGTCCTTGTTGAACCGTGACTTGGCTAAAACCGTGATCGTCGAGGTGGACGAAGATGCCGTCTCCTTGCAGAGAGAGAATGCCGTGATGGCCCACAAGTGGGACGGAAAGGCCGACGACTACTTGATTCTGTTGATCCCATTCTTGGAGTACTTGGCCACCCAGCCATCCCAGGATGTCAGACCCATTTTGAACTCATTCCAAGACAGGTACAAGATTGTGGACGAGTTCCAGCAGCGTGAGTTGAAGTTGAGAGAACAGTGGAAGAAGGAAAACAACAAGCCAAACGCCGGAAACTTCTTGGCCTCAATGTTGGGCGCCCCTGCATTGGCCAAGGAGCCAAAGATGCCTTTGGATGTGATCAGAGAGCACGGCCAGTACCAATACGAGCAATACGAGAAGTTTGTGGAGGCCAACATTGCCAAGGCTCTCGAAGAGGAGAAGAAGATGAAGGAGAAGCTCGGTAAGACCTCCTTGAACAAGGTGTTTGACGGTCCCCCAAGTGCCGAGGAAATCGCTAGAGTCCAGAAGGAGATTCAAAACGAAAAGTAGTCTTGTATATAATAAAGGCCGGGTTCGCCCGATGATGAGAAGTGTAGATGGTAAGGGAATGGCAAATGCTAGAATTCTAATGCTTGTGTAATTTTTTTGGTAGTGGGAGGTATGTTAAGTCCAAATTGCAACCATTATACCAATAAATACATTTCTGTCCGAAAATTTGAATTGAGACAATTTTCTTCGGTTACAAGAAAGTCTCCTACAACGCTGACATCTGCTTGAAAGATCTTTCACCGAGTAGTCGGATTTTGCTTAATTCAGAAAGCTGAATATTTTTTCATCCAACTCGGTATTTTGCTCAAGCGACCGTTTGTCTAAATTGGATTGCCGTATGAGCAAGGTCCAGTGAATGCCAATTTAATTCTGAACTTTTCAAATCGAATGTTGGATTACTGGTCGACATTGTCCATTTGTATGACTCAACAAGGAGTTCTTGTGATCGTCAGAACGTTGACTGTAGCATCATTGCAGACAAGCCTTTCGACTTTTCATTAACCCCGTCTACTACAGAGATTAAGATACTAGTAGAGGCAATTGGTTATTGTGCCACACGCTAGACTGGTAGGACTGGAAGGCAATAAATCAAAGTATCAACAAAAATGATTTGCTCCTAAAAGGACGTCCCAGGTGAACCATGATGCAAACTTCATCTAAAATAAAATCGACAAGAATAATCTTGTAGTGTAAAGGATTGACTTAAAAGAGATAAATCAATAGTGTGCTTCCAATACATAGGTACATAGTTAGATTACAATTTGCTGCAAAATAAAAGTAAATGTATCCAAAGTTGCTAACCTGTTCGTATTAAAGTATACCGAGAACTGGAGGAAAAGGTACTTTTCAATCCACCATTCGCTTAAATTCCCAAAATCAATTTCTCCCTAGTACTACTCTCCACTTTTTTGTCTCTAGCTTACTCCACTTAAGCCACCACTCAAATACCTGTGAAGTAGTTCCCTACTTGCGAGAGGACAAGCATTGTCGGTTTAGTGCCACCAAATTTATCCAATCGCTACCAATCTACGTAGTATCTCAGCGTTACCACCTCTCAACTCCCAGGGCTCCAGTACGCTAAGATCGTCCATAACTGACGGTTTTGCTGTCACTTCCCCCCTGGTGCCTATAGTGAAGCCACTAACAGTCCTTTTTGTTGCTGGCCCAGCCTCGGATGCAAACTGCTCCGATTTCGGAACTGAGCTAATTATTGACCGTTGCAGTGACACATGCAGCGATTGGTGCGCCTGGCGCAAAGAAGTTCTGCCAGAATGACACGGCAGAACCTCAGTTGGCCCACCACCAGAACAACCGCAAAGCAACAGAAGCTGGTATGGCTCAACGCCCATATGGCGTGGTTGTAGCGTCCACGTCTCCACTAGCCATGGCTACTCCGGCGTTCCTGTTGCCCGAATGCCCAGCCTTGGTTCTCCACCAAATCGGCCGTGCCACTACCTGGTGACACAAAAAGAGTTTTATCTTTTTCATCAGTCAGCCAATCAATCACAGCAATATCTACACCAGACCACTGCTTCACCACGTCTTCCGTTAAAAGCCAAGGCCTCTGACATCGTTTCCGCTCTACCATAGCTGGACACTGCCATCACCGTGCCAGCCACTTTTTTCCCCCACTTTCAAGCCTCCCACCCTCTCCCTGACCACAACAACCATTCCCGATCCTGGACCAGTCCAGTCGCCAGTCCAGTCTCCAGTTCAGACACCAACGCCAGTCGAGTCACTGCCATCTTCCCAGAGCACGCATCGCTAGATTCGACCCCTCTGATCGCTCCCACCCCTGATCCTTTACCAATGAGTACACCAGCATCTACCATTGCCCCAAGACTGGCACTTTCGCCTATCGCCATTTCAGGAGGCTCCCCTCCTGCCACAGGCACCTCGTCGTCCAGAAGCAGCACGTCAGGTGCTGCCACGCCTAGACCGTCAGGTGGAGTCACCCAAATCATCACCTCCAAAGAATGGGTGTTGCCACCGCGTCCCAAGCCAGGACGTAAGCCCAGCGTGGACACACCAGCGTCGAAACGAAAGGCCCAGAACCGAGCAGCTCAAAGAGCTTTCCGAGAGCGCAGAGCTACGCGAGTGCAGGAGCTCGAAGAGAAATTGATGGAAGTCGAAAAGGAGAAGGAGGTCAAGGAAATGGGCCTCGTCAACACCATCAACAAGTTGAAGGTGGAGAATCAGTTCTTGTTGAAGAACTTAGAACAGATCAGACACGAGTTGAATGCCGTCAAGGAGAACCAACGCATTCCCTCTGCATTCAAGCCATCGTACAACCTCGCCAACAACGCTTCCAACGCCTCCCCCACGAGCCACAACACCGGCTCGCCTGCAAGCTCGGCATACTCAGTGCAGCAGATCTCGCCAGCACCATCCACAGAGTCGCCTCCCTCGTTCCACTCCCACAGAAAGTCGATCTCGTCCACGTTCACTCCCATCTCGTCTCACACCACACCCCACAAGCCGTCGGAAAACAACTTCGACTGCGGAGTGTGTCTCAAGGACGACTGTCTCTGTGAGTCTGTAGGCTTGAAATCGGCCCAGAACGAGGCTGACATCAACAAGAAGTTGGAGGACGCCATCAAGTCGTTTAAGCCCATGCCAGCAGTGTCACTTTCGAAGAAGCGCAAGGTGTCGTCGATCAAGGAAAATGACGGACCCTTGGAGATCGACTTCACCCAGAAGTTCGCTGCCCAGACCAAGCCTGTGCCCCAGTTGAAGAAACCCAAGAGAGCCTCGCATAGTGGAAACCATTTGGAGAGCAATAACCAGTACAACGACAGCTCGCCAGTGGAAGACTGTGGCTTCTGCTCTGATGACACTCCGTGTGTATGTCGTGAAGCTGCCAAAGAAGCTGCCAGATTGAACAGTTCGTTGAATGAGCAGTATCCCAATGAAGATCCCAAGGACGAGACTGTGGGCCAGAGCAAGCAACTCCCACCAATTTTGAACTCCAAGAGCTTCACCAGAAACGCATCCTTGCCCGTGATGCATCCAGGACCATCGGTGGAAATACGAGAAATCACTAACTTGACTCCTGGTGCTGTGCCTACCGTGCTCAACCCAACCACCAGAATCACTGAACAGGGCCCAGAGAATAAGGACTCCCCCAGAGATTCCGATGGTGGGTGTACGGGAAATCCAGGTACCTGTCAGCAGTGTCAGATGGACCCAATGTCAACTTTGTTCTGTACTACAGTTGCTAACAAGGCCCAGGAAGAATCGTCAACGCCTTCTTCTGGCGAGCAGTCCATCAGTCCTTCACCAAAGCCCATGATTTCTCGAACTGACTCCAAGGCAAGTATACCTTCGATATCTGTTGGCTCGATGACCGCTCCTTCCACCCCATCGTCAGCTCCTCCTCCGCTCATAGCTACCAACAATCCTGCCACATCCACCTCGGGAATGTTCATACCCTGTGCTGATGCCTACAAGACTTTGTCTCGGCACAAAAAGTTCAACTCTGTGGATTTCAGCACGTTGGTTGGTAAATTGACCACTAGAGGCATGCAGGTTGAGGTACAATCTGTGGCTAATGTGTTGAGAGAGTTGGATAGAAGAGTCTACAATTAGCGGCGTGGATTAAGGTTTGGTTTCTTTATTTCGTGAGTCGCTAGTTTGCGGATTTGGAGTATAGGTTTGGTCTCTTATTATTTGTTATATTACCCAAAGCAAGGCTTGGGCCTTTTATTTCGTGTTTACTTCTTTTATAATTTCTTTGATTACGCCCGGTACGTAGACTACACTTGGTAATATATTTTGAATATATTCATAAAATCACTAAATAAATCAATCTAACTAAGGAATGAAGCTGCCTGGCATCTGGACATGGTTAACATGACCGGTTTGACTGACTTCTTGCCTTTGGGAATGGGTACCCGTAGTCACATTTTCAGATGGGACTGCTTTGGAATTGTATGCTCCACTTGCACCACCAGCAGCAAAGTCAGCACTAGTTTCTCTTGGAGCACTGGTGTGAGCGGAGCTGCCACTCAAACCGTGGTTTTGAGCTGGATAAGATCCAATAGATGGCTCTGTGTAGGCATCAGTGTTGCCAGCACCGATATTAGTGGAAACACCTTGCTTGTTGTGCAAGGCACTAGAGTCGTAGGTTTCGCTAGACAATCCTCCTCTAACGCCAGAAGCATGACTGTTACCATGGTGGGTCAATCCACCGTGGCTTTGACCACCAGAAATGTCAGTAGTTCTGCCAGACTTATTTTGCAAAGCACTGGAATCGTAGGTTTCATTCGATAAACCACTTCTGGTTTCATTGGACAACCCTGACTTAGTGGATCTTCCTTCGTTAGTAGAAGCAACAAAATTTCCAACTTCATCAGTGATGATTCCGGTTGTGGAATCAACATTAAGTTGCTTAGCGTTGGCCAACACTTCTGGTTTACTTTGTTTCAAAGATTGAATTGCACCTGTAGCAATCTTAGTTGCGTCCGTGTTGCTCTTGGTTCCACGAACGTTGACCAAGACGTCTTCCTTCTTCCCACTTTCATGGGTAGAGGTGGCTGGTGCAACATTTCCAAGATGGCCCTCGTTTGCAGCTCTACTCAATCTTTCTTTAGCTTTCTCATGCTCATCGTGGAACTTGTTTGGCTGGGAAGGGTCGGCACTGGTAAGATCTTGACGTTGAGGAATTTGAATGTCTTCCTCCCTCAACGACTTCGAACCTGAACCAAATCCATCATGGTGAACTGCTTGGCTACCTGCAACTACTCCAGCGGCACCAGCAGCTCCCACAGCTGCGGCTGCACCAGTAGCACCATGTGAGTTGGATGCTCTGGAGCTTGATGCATTCTTCTCGTCCTGGACTAAGCTTTGTGCTGGTTGATCAGTATCAGTCTTGTAGATTTCCCTAGTGTTGGCATTGATAACCAACTTACCCGAGGATAAGTCTACTCCTTGTTTGCTCAAATCTTTGGAGGCAGAACGGGCAATCTTCGAGGCCTCTTCCTTGTCAGAAACACCAATAACTTCTACCAATAGCTCATCTTTGTTCCCAGAGTTCTTGCTTCTAGAAGAATTGGATGAAGAATGACCGAGGGCAGATGATCCGGCAGCCCCAATAGCGGCTCCTCCAACAGCTCCTCCGGCAACAGCTCCTCGGTTAATACCTTGGTGCTTTGAGTCAGCGCCAGTACCAAATCCTTGATCACTAGCTTGATGCTTTGAGTCCTCATGTTCCCTACGACCATGATCATGGCCATGCTCGTAAGCAGCCTTGTGAACACCAGCTGCGTAAAATTCCTTGTGGTCCTCAGCAGTAAAGCTTTGATCCTTGTTTGGAATTACACCAGCTGCAGTCAGTCCGGTATTGGAACTCAATCCCTTGGAGTTGGAGTTGTGGGACTGGTTGCTAACATCTTTCGCAGCCGCAACATTACCTGATTCGTAAGCACCAGCTTGCAAACCTTCATTGTAAGGGGTCGAACTTAAGTCCTTCGTGTTCGCTCCATGAGACAGGCTGCTGACATCTTTTGCAGCCGCAACATTGCCTGACTCATAAGCACCAGCTTTCAATCCTTCACTGTAAGCCTCGTTCTTTACTTCTTTTGATTGGGGGGCGGTACGTTGCCTCGGGTTACTCTCACCGTGAACATCGCTCACGGTGTTAGAGTGCTCAGTATGAGTATCAGCCTTCTTACCCCCTGACAAATACGAGATTGCGCCGCCAACGGCACCTGCACCTGCACCAAGTAAACCTGCACCATATCCATAGTTAGAACTGTCAGATTGACTAGTCTCTTGGTGAGTATCGTGGGAAATACCTGCGGTATTGGGCTTTTCATCCTTGTAAGCACGATCGATCTTGTCTGCAGGGTTTATATGCTCCTTATGAGGGTCCTTCGCTGAGTGGCCCGTAGCATAAGCTTGGTTTTCTTGCTTCTTGTTGGTAGGATTGGAGTTCTTTTGATGAGGACTAGACTTGGAGTCCACTGGGTCACTCAATGAACCTTCCTTACCACCAGTACGAATAAAGTCATTTTGCTTGAAGTCCAGAGTAGGAAGTGGTTGAACATCACCATCCTTAGTTTCAACCTCTTCGTCACCATCCTCAGTAACTGACTTACCATGATGACTACTAAGGTTCTTGATTTCAGGATCAGCATGTTCTGCGATTTCAACCAAAGATCTCTTGTCATTCTTGTTGAAACCATGCTTCTTGTTGTAGGCATCCACTTCGGCTTCAGTCATCTTGGAAGATCCGCTATCCTTGCCCTTGGCATTGGAGTCATCCTTTTCGCTGGCTGGAACTAATCCTGGTACTTGTTGAACACCATCGTCTTTGTCGTTCGTTTCACCAGAATCAGTCAAAGCACTCTTTCCAGTTGTATGAGGCTTGGCTTTGGCAACATCGTCATCGACACGCTCAGCAGTAGCAATCAAAGACTCGCCTGGAGCAGGAACTCCTGACTTAGTACCAGATACACCCAAGGCGCCAGCAACACCACCAACAGCAGCTCCAGCAGAGGCAAGAATTCCCTTGTTGGAGTTACCACTGCTTGCAAGGTCCTTATTTTCAGATTCTAATTCCTTGGATTTCTTGTCCTTGGAAGAAGTACCCTTGGCTGACTCTTCAGTTGGGGTCAACCCTGGGACCTTTTGGACTCCATCGCCTTCATCCTTTTCGTCGGTTTCGGTTTCCTTCAATGGGTCCTTACTAGTGGGATGGGCCTTGGCCTTTGCAACATCTTCGTGGCCGTCAACTGCACCCACTAATCCACTGGATTTGGCATGTGGATCAGTAGACGTAGAAGTAGCAGTAGCACTGGTCTTTGAGTCAGAACCATATGGAAGGCCAATTGCACCTGCCGCACCAGCCAAGTATCCAGAAATTCCAGAGTTGGAGGAGTGGCTAGTTCTAGTATCGCTTTTGTCGTCAACGTCATCAAGAATTGGCTTCTGTGGGGAGTCAGAGCTCTTGTGGTGAGTTGTACCGATCTCAGCAGACTTGGAGGTACCAATGTTTTCCTTAGCCTTGACCTTGCCAGCATCGTAAGATTCATGGACTGGGTCCGAAGACGAAGTGGCAGCAGCAGCACCACCAAATCCAGCGGCGGCAGCAGCGGCACTTAAGGCACCAGTGGCACCGTCAAAGAAACCTGGCTTTTGGGAGCCGTCGGCATTGACCTGATCCAATCCGGTAGCTTTACCAGAAGTCTTGACGTAAGCATCTTCCGAAGTCAATTCAGACTTCTTCAAATCCCTGTCTTCGTGGGAAGAACCAGAACCAAAACCAAGTGTTCCGGCAGCAATGGCACTTGCGGCACTGGCAGCACCACCAAAGATACCTGCTGAGGTGTTTCTGGAGTCTGATACCGTTTGGCCTGGCGCATTGGTGGTTTCAACTGACTTGGAGACTGGCGCAGTCTGTCCAGAACCATGAGTAGTTTCCACTGATTTCGAGACTGGGGCAGCTTGGTTGGAAGAGTATCCTGTAGCGGCTCCGGAATTTGATTTGCCTGCCTTCAATCCTTCTTCATAGGCTTCGTGTACCACAGGATGTTCGGAAGCGTCGTAGCTCTTTCCACCGAGGCCAACGTAGCTAGCAGCAGCTGCCAATACGCCAGAGGCACCGGCTAAAGCACCAGCGCCAGCAGCACCAGAGTGGTGGTCGGAGTGTGGGTCCAAAGACTTGCTTGCGGAAACTGGGGCAGAGTGGCTAGTACCATGAGTTTCGACAGACTTAGAAACTGGGGCGGTTTGGCTGGCACTATGAGTAGAGGAAACTGGAGCAGTTTGGCTGGTATTGTGAGTGGTGGAAACTGGAGCAGTTTGGCTAGCACCATGACTAGTTTCAGTTGACTTAGAAAGCGGAGCAGTTTCACTGGAAGAGTATCCAGCAGGGGCATATCCAGCAGCCGAGCCGGAGCTTGTCTTGGATGAGTGTCTAGCGGCTCCGGAGCTTGACTTTCCTGCCTTCAATCCTGCTTCGTAGGCTTCGTGTACCACAGGATGTTCGGAAGCGTCGTAGCTCTTTCCACCGAGGCCAACGTAGCTAGCAGCAGCTGCCAATACGCCAGAGGCACCGGCTAAAGCACCAGCGCCAGCAGCACCAGAGTGGTGGTCGGAGTGTGGGTCCAAAGACTTGCTTGTGTCTGAGGCGAGGTCCTGGTTGTAGACACCGGTGGTTGAGACGTTGGAGCTCTTCAAGTTCTCGATCTCGTTCTGGGTCTGGTCGATCTGTCTGTCCAACTTCTTGAGCTCACTTTCGTAGTCGAAGTCTTTGCTGGAAGGAGGCACAGCAGTGGCAGTGTATGATTTGTCGTTAGTGTGGGAGGTCAGGGTAGAGTCGTAAGCGCCAGACTTGGCAAACTGTCTGGCAGCGTCCTTGTCGTCAGATTTCAGGGCAGGCTTGGGGGAAATGCTTCCCGAGTAGGGTTGGGCGTTAGAGGAGGTGTTAGAGGCATGCTTGCCAGAATTGGAGCCAGAATGGGAGCCTGCGCCCACGGCAGCAGCAGTGGCAGCACCGCCAGCAGCAGTAGCTACGCCCAAGTCCTTCTTGGCGGTGGTGACACCCGAGGAGTTGAACGCAGACTTGTTTCTGGAGTGCTCTTCCGAGGGGTCCAAGGTAGTACCCTTGCCAGCGTTGTCGTTCGCACTGCTACTGGCATTTGCAGCCAGTGCCTGCGAGGACGAAGCCTGGGCTGAAGACGACGCCTGCGAGGTGTCTCTGTGAGCAGCCTTGACGCCCTCAGCATAGGAGCTGTCCTTGACAGCTTCAAGCTCTTGTTCTTGCTTGGCCTGGGCTGCGTAGGCAGCAGGCTGGGTCTTCAAATTCTTGTTGCGCTCCAACTTAGCGCGCGTGGCCTCGTCGTACGGACCAGCACTGTCACCATAGACTCCGCCCTGGGTGTCCTTGGGGTCGAAGAAGTAACCAGTACCCTTGTCGTTGGTGGCATCGTTGGCGTAGTCGGGATTGGAGTTCTCGTGCAAGCAGTTGGGGTCGTTGTACTCGGGGTCTCTTTCCTTTCCGATCAACGAGCGGTCCAATGGGTTTTTCTCGTTGGTGAAGTCGCCACTGAGGTCTTTGGTGACTGGCTCGCGCTTGACGGGAGGGGGAGAAGTGACGACGCGGCCGACGTGGGAGGAGGCGACCACAGAGGGGGAGTGGGAGGTTCCGTGAGAGGAGGAGGAGGTAGCACCGGAGGTTCCGTGGGAGGAGGAAGTGGCTCCAGCGGCTCCGTAGGCGCCATGAGACTTTCCATGAGACTGCCCCTGATGGTGGCCCTCCTGGTACGCCTGTTTCACGACATCGTCAGAACCAGAACCCTTGTTGTGGCCCTCTATGTAGGCCAGCTCAATGGGCGAGTTTTCCGGGTTGTGGCCAGCTTTCTTGCCTTCCGAGTAGGCGGCATCCACAACGTCGCTGTGGCCAGTCTCCAGCGACTTCGTGCTGGACGAGGATCTAGAATGGGTTTTGAACGGTTTCTTGAGCTTTCCGAGGAAGCTCTGTTTATCTTCAGACATTGGTTTTATTGCAATTGAGGTTCCTACAATAAGAGGGGCTCGCTGCCTTTATACTCGGCAGGGGAACAGCAATCAATGATTGCAAATTTCATCGCTCCTGGTGTGGTTGTTCCATGCAGCAACCTAAAACGCACATGTGGCTGATGAAACTGGGGAAGACCGGCAAAACGCCCGCTTGCTTCTCCTCACGGAATAGGAGGAAGGGATCAGTGCTTAGAGGATTACTGGAATTGATGGGATTACTGGCTGGTGGAATTGATGTATGGGTTCTATTCCCTACTCTGAGAATACTGTTACTTGCTGGAACATCCATTCTTCACTACTCGGCATTGGCGTACATGCCCAAGGCTGCGCAGCCCCGTCGCTTCACGTCATTGGCCTGGCATCGCCAGTATGATGGCTGCAGTGCTGCATTGCAGGTCACTGTCATGGAACAATCGTGGTTGTGTCGAGAGCAATGCTACCGACGCGGGCGCACGCCCTGCGGCTTCCGCGTAGGTGATGACTGGTCACGTGACACATACTCTCATGGAACCCTATGAACGCAGGGCCACTACGAGTTAGACTTGAAGGTAATTGGCTCGGGAAGTCCATTTTTCGGCATTGGCATGCTTCAACTAAAATATTTCATTAGTAGGAGCAAGCTTTTGGCTGTTATGATTACTTTATCGTAATTCAAAAGTATAAAGCTCTCTATTGATAGACTAATCCACTGGTGCTCATTTCAGATACGAGAATGTAGGTTTGTGTGCAGGCGATCCGGCAGAATGAGACAGTCACTATTAAACATCATGTGTACCAGTAAGAAATTCTGGCTATGATAAATCACTCGGTACTCCGGTTTTCACAGAGAAAAATTTAGAATGATGAACGCTTTTTGCCGGTTAAAGTTTCTGGCAAGGATAGTTCATAAAATCATAGTTTTTGGCATTGATAATTAATTCACTCCATTTGCCTGTTGTATAGATCGATTTCTGGCAATGATAGATCGGTGATTAATTTAAATATATATATATAACATAATTTCTAATTTCAAGTTTCCGTCGGATTCGTGGAATTCCACGGGAGTCGATCAATGTCGATGGCCAATGCTGTTTAGCTTCTACTGTATCTGCTGCATCCACCCTAATGTTTGGCAGCGTTCCAACGGCATCATTAAATTTTCCTGGTTAAATTCGTACAGCATAGTTTGTACGTGCATATCATTGGGGTCTGGATTTTTATCGTAAACTCCGATCGGGCCTACCTGAAAGTTTGAAGTGACAGGCATGTACTTCACCTGATGGCTGATCTTGCTACGAGTATGGATGATGTAACGACAACCATTACTGCTGTGTATTTGGAACAGTGAAATGAAGTTTATAACTCTTGTGTTAAAAATGGTACACTGCTAGAGTTATGGATAGATGTAACAGACCATTCACGGCACAGTTATGGAAAATATCGTATCAGTATATGGCACGATGATTTGACGGGTATTTAGTCTCACAAATAATGACGCTGCAGAGTTCCATGAAATAGATGTAACGTGCCAATCATTCGTCGCGACTCAATTGTATTGGCATATTCGTTAGGACTTCAATTCCATCAGATGTCACCATTGTATGCCACTCTAGCTACTTGTAGATGGGCTGCTTATTGCCCTTGTTGTAGATCAACCGTGTCACCAACCACTCCAAGCTCTCCCGGAGCCCCTGGTTCTCCAACACCGACACGGGGAGTAACTTGGAGTCGGTGGCCTCGAGCTCGCTTACCAACTGAATGAACACCCCCGTCTTCAACGACACCAAATCAACCGCTTGCGGGAGATCCTGCTTGTTCGCAAGCATCAAGATGGGCACGTTGAGGAGATCGCTGTTTTCTTCTGAGTTCCACGACTCGTCGTGGGCAATTTCCTTCAACGTCTCGTAGCACTCCTGGAACCGCTCGGTGTCGGTGGAATCGATGATGAAGATGATCCCGTGGCACGACTTGTAGTACCGTGACCACATCGAGCGCAACGACTTTTGGCCCCCAAGATCCCAGAACTTGAGGTTGATATTCTTGAACTGTGACGACAAGTGTGACTCGATCGACGACTCAAACTTGATGGTGGTGGTGTTCTGCCCCACTGTGGGCAAGATGCGCTTGGCCTTGAGCAACTCGCTGGTGTTCTTCTTGGTTTCCTCGTCGTCCGCTGCCCGTTTTGCTGAAGCAGCTTTGGACTCGTTGTACGCCGGGTATATCAACTTCAAGTGCTCCAAAAACGTGGTTTTCCCGGCATTGTCCAAGCCTAGGATCAAGATGTTGTACTGTTCCCGCTTGGTGTATTGGGTGTATAAAGATGAAGCCAAGTGAAACATTTCAGACCATAGCTTGTTGTGATGGGAAGGCGATGCAAAGAAGGTGTTGTGGCCGGATGGAAGGCTGCTATAGTGCTCGGCGGGTGTGATGCTGGGGTTCTGCTGGTTCCAAAGACGCGTACTGGTTGGATCGAGTGTTACTGCTAACCGGTAGTGATGTGGTTGTGGGAACCTGATTTGGGGCATGCTGAGTCAGCAATGACGTAAGCGCTCCATCCTGCCCCATCGCCGTTACCCGGACGCGCCGCCAGTATAAGTACAGAGTTTTCGCCCATTCCTTCAACGTTGGCGATTGCCCGGTTGACTGTTTGGGACTGTCTGACGATAGTCCGTGACAGTCGATTGCAGACATGACTATACAATGATGATCATTTGATAGGGACAACTGAGTAAGCAATGAAGATATGTTGTCTTAGATAGTAGAAATATCTGAAGTTAGTCGTTCTGTGATGCCGTGCAAGACAGGCCAGAAATTGTTGAGGGACCACTTGAGAGTGGAAGGGATCAACTAGTGTGGGTTTGCTCCGCTAAGTTTCATACGAGATGGAGTGAGCCCCGCTAGCGAGATTTATTAGTGGTGAATTAAGGATGTGAATGGAATTTTCTGGTGTTGGACATACCAATATTGGACACTTCCATGTAACCTGTAGTTATCCATTCAGACAGATTTTACCTCTCGCTGGTTAGCATGACCTTCGTCAGTTAGGTCATGGTTGAACTGCGGTTTATCTACATCATCAAGTGATAGAGATCAACCATTGCGGCCTTTCATAAGCGTGGCCAGTGTAGCCGACGGTATGGCACGGATGTCGTATTGTTCAACAAAATTACGACTACCGTATTACGGAAATGGTCCGTCACAGATTAAATGGTATTCATGGATCTTGACGGATTTCCAGTATAATCGTGTCTCGAGCTATTGCTCAAGTAGATGAATTGATTTCGTTCCGAATCCACAGGGCAGACAGATGCAAATCTGCTAGGAAAAACTCTGGATACCAGAAGCACATCTGACGATCAATGGATAAATTAAGGGCAAGGAATAAACTAAGAATTTATGTGAAAGATCATAATCATTACATGGATCCGAATATTTCGTACATTTGCTTTAAATAATATAACTAGATTCACCTTAAATTATTCGTTTTGCTCAAACTCTAGGTGCTTCTCGATTTCTTGCGAGCTAGATAATATCTCTAGTGATAAAAATAGAGTGGTTCTGATTTAGTAAACCTCTCAGCTGTTCCTTAACCTTAAATCTCGCAGAGTCTCTTCGGTTACCTCTCCCTTTCACTTCAGTAGGAGGTTTGAAGGGTTGGTATTGAAAATCCACATAAACTTGGCTACACTCTATCCAAAGCTGTTTAATCATCGATTACTCTACCCTAAATGTTCTTCTTGGCCGCGTTGGTCTTGCCCACATAAATGTAGTTGACCACGAACGCAAACCAAGCTACCACCACCAAGCCTGCACTGGCCACGTACAACCAGGAGTTGGTGATGTCCCAGGATCTCTTGTACTCGTCGTTAGCCAAGTGTCTGACCGTCACCACCTTGCTGTCTTCCAAGTAAGATAATCCTGATCTCTTGTAGTCCAAGCCAAAGGTGAACATACCGTGTTGGTCAGGAACCGTGAACTGGACGGAGTACACCTGGGTGTCCAAGACGTCCAGGCCATCAACAGAAGCAGCCGGTCCCAAAGGCTTCAAGTCGAGTCTTTGGTATGGGTCCAACATCTTGAACTCAACCTGCAAGTTGTTTTCGGGGTTGCTGACGGTGTAGGGAGCCCACTTACCGTCCACCCACTCAGACACACCGATAGTGTACAACGCCTGTTCCTTGACACGGTAGATGGATGGGTCAGGCACGGCTGGGTTTTCTTCTCTGGAATGGTGCACGAACTGCAACTTCAACACTCCCTTCTGTTGGAACACCCACTGGACAAGCTCGTTTTCGAGGAGAGACTCGGATCCCACCCAGGCCACTCTGGCGTTGTTCAAGGCCTGCAACCCCACGGCCAAGAATCCCTGTTCACCAAACGTCCAGGTAGTGTCTTCATCGAGGTACTCCTTGTTGCCAGCAGTGAAGCCAGTCTTGGAGCTCTGGACTAACGGAATGATGAGCTCGTTGTTGGAGATCAAGGCAGCACCACCGTCGTACTCTGAGGTCGACAACTGCGAAATCACGTTGTTTCCAGCAACCACGTTGGCAGGGGCCAACGCTACCTTGCCGGAGTCGGAGGTGTGGAAATGGTCCTGGTATCTGAAGTTCTTGGGGGAAGGATAGATGCCCAATTCGTTCAAGAACACACGTGTGGACTCTGGCAACACGCTGGTGGCGTCGCCCACCACCAACACATTGCCATGGGCGTTGATGTACTTCAACAACTGGCCCTGGCTGACGGCTTGCTTGGCGGCAATAGCCTTCTTGGACGAGGGCAAGAGCACCAAGTTGTCGTAGGCCAAGTCGTCTTCGAGGAGCAACTTGATGTCCTCGTCGTCGTAAGACTTGACAGTCACCTTGTACTGGAGCTCCAAGTTGGAGATGAATTTGCTAAGCGACGAGGTGGAGTTTTGGGACAGCAAATCGTGGAGTTGAGGGTCAAAAAGAACCAATGCGTCGGGGGTGGCGGCGGCAGCAGCAAGCACGCTAGCCGCAAAGCAGACCACTGCAAATAACCAGGTCAATCGGATCATGGGAAGCGGTTTGTGTGGTTCAATTGGGTGGTTTGGTATTGCAATCAGCAAGCGCCTGGTGGTTTTTCATACGTGTTGAAAAGTGCAGGCAGTAGTGCGTGGCCAGGGTGGGTAGCGCAGGCACAGGCTGGAGAGAGAGGGTGGTAGCAGGGAGTGGCAGATGGGAGGAGATGGCAGCAGACACTGGTGACGGTGACAGTGCCACCACAAACATCCTTACTACCGCCTCCAGGAGTCTCCTTGAGTCGTCCTTCTACTGGTTGGTACTTTCCCCAGACCCTCCATTCCGTGCACCACCAGTGCCCCACTAAAGTGCGCAGACAGACATTTCCTCAGGCATCGCAGTAAAGGTTCCACAATGGGCATCAGAGTCAAGATCGAGTTCCTTGGAGGCTTGGACGTCATCTCCAGCGGAGTCAGAGAGCACAAGGCAGTGGTGCCGCTCGAGGAAGGCGAGGCCACCATGAAAGACTTGGTGGAATACGTCACCCACAACATCATCAGCGACCCCAAGGACATTCCTGTGTTCATCGAAGACGACACGGTTCGTCCAGGAATCCTCGTGTTGATCAACGACACCGACTGGGAGTTGGAGGGCCAGGAGGAGTATGTGCTTGAGAGCGGAGATGTGTTCACGTTTACCAGTACGTTGCATGGTGGATGAGTAAGGTGTTAACCGTTGTATAAATGAATAGTCTCTGGTCTTAACCGTCTGGTCTCGTTGTATAAATGAATAGCATGTAATTAATGGAATATCCGAAGTATTGGAGAGTGTATTTAAACATCAAATCGATTTCCACAACGAATTCTGTTCAAGCCTTTTCAACGCCTTTGCTGGCCCTGGGCTAGATTTCCACGGATCAGACTGGTGCTACTTGACAGGCATTTCTCAAAGAGGATAACGGGACTAAATTAATAGGATCCTATCGAAAGAGCCTAAGAGTTAAAATTAAAGGTACTTATCAGAGCATATAGTGTGAAATCAGAGCGGATTTATCATGCGAAATTCATCAATAGTGAATACCAGAGAGGGTAAGGAATATGTAGCTATCAATGGAAAATATCAGAAAATAAGTCTGTAATCAATGGGATGGGATGCATCTGGTCGAATTTGAGAATGTAATTAACCACTGTTCGATTAACTTGATATACTCATATTCTCCGGAGTTAGCCAGTGGGAAATGTATCAATCCCATCCGTGTGTCATCAAGTAGCTCGACCTCGAGAGTCCATTATGTACTTCTTATCCTAATAATCTACATTGTAGTGAACGATAGGAGCTCTCATCTCGTGTTCTCCTAGAACATAGGATATATTATCTCATAAACAACCGTTGAGTAGTAATTGATGTCAGACTTATAGATGTCTAACTAGGCAATGTTGATCTTCTATCCTTCTGGCCCACAGCGGTCACACCTGCTGGAATTTTTATAATTATACTTCTGACAAACCATACTCTTTTAAATACTCGATTACCACCCTTCTAGCTTTACTTCCTGGCCTATTATCCAGTTTCTCGCCTATAATGGCACTAACCGACAGCCCAACAAGCCCTGTCCTTCCCAGTTGTTGGTAGGCACCAATACCAAGGTCTCTGTGTCTGTACCTCGCAAAACCTCCACCGTGATCTCGCGATCCACCTTGTTTCTGACCCTGTTTGCCAAGGCAGACAACTTTTCGTGATTTCCAGCATGAATCTCCCCGTCAAACAACACGATCTTGTCTTGTGACTGCAAGCCTGCGGAGTGTGCTGGTCCCTGGGGCACCACCTCGCTAACCACAGCAAATGGGATTCTGGTGGGCGGTGCTGAATCCACTGGTGAAACAGCTGGGTGGTTTTCAGCTTTGCTGTTCACTTCTTCGGCAGGAGCCGCCTGCTTCGCCTTGGCAAACTCTTCGAACATCTTCGTTTCCAACTGTTCCAAGAGCCTCTTATGATCATTTCTCAACCGGATGATCTTGATCCTAACAAGCCGTATGCTTACCACGTCCACATCTGCACGAGGAAACCCGTCTGGGCTGACCAAGGGCGTGTCCATCTCCACTCGATACTTATTCTTTAATAAATCGAAGAGGGTGGAGAGTTGCAACTCGATGTCCTGTTTGATTGTGGAGAGCTGAGAGAACGACAATTTCAGGAAGTCTTCATCGTAGGACTTGAATTGTGATTCGTCAAGATTGAGGGCTTTCATGAGCCCTCTGAAGGAATCGTCGGAGTCAGACATCGTGGTATTGGTTTGCCATCAGTGTTGATGTCGCATTGATGTGGGGCAGAGGTTTGGCGACATGCGACATTATAATGGTCAATGGTAAGGCTAATATAATTCCCAGAGAAAACACCTACACCTCACTATTCTTGGATACACCTATACCAGCCAAATAGAGTATACTTCAAAGGTATTTCACTCCTAATTTACGAAGGAAGGGCCCAAAGCCTGATGTGGAAAGAATAGGACCAGTATGACTCTCAAATAATTTCTACAGCTAGTCTGAATTATTCTGTTCTTTCCAGAAAGCACCTTAATACATGGACTCTATACTACCTCCAAAGGGTCCTTTCTGGTTCATACTTCAGTGTCAAAATTAGTTTGTTCTCAACTCGTCCTGACTCAAACTCTTAAATCATACTTGTATTCTAATGGTACTTTTATGTAATGTCTATTCATTTTTGGCTAACCATCGTAACTGAGCGCAAATGAATAGGTACTGATGGCATCCACATCGTCGTTATCATTGCCTTCGCTGATTTCCTTCCAGGAAGCAACCGTCAATAAGACAAAGCCAACTATCACAAACATATCACCCAACAATTGCTGGAAACTCAAGCTGTTGCCAAATAGCCACCACTCGACTAATCCGATCAAGAAAATGGTAACCAAAGAACTGACTGAGGACAAAACAGGACTGGTCAACGCCATCAACGAAAGGAACGACGCACTAAAGATTATATTGGAGATAATAGACCCGCTGATACAACTCCAAATCACCCTGGTGTTTTCCCCGTAGTGAATCAAATTGAACTTGTGAATGCCCAAAACATCGGCGAGCACAATCAATATGAACAAGATCAGAAAGGTGTAAAACCCGAGAAGTCCCATCACGAAGTTGGCAAAGGTCATCTGACGACGAGGTGTGATCAACTTGGTCAAATGGGGTGGGATGCACAAGTATCTCTTGTAGAGCACCTCGTAGTAGCCGTAGAGAATGGCGCCTGCGAAAATGATCAAATTACCCCAGAATCTATAGGGATACTCGGTGTCCTCGTCGGAGCCAGCATCCGAGTAGGCCACAATGAAGACCCCAGAGATAGCGATGATGACGGAGGACATTTTGAGCCACGAGAAGCGCTCGTGGAGAATGGGGATGGCAAACGCGTAGGCAGTGAATGCCGAGCAGTTGTAGATGGCAGTGACGTCTGCAGCGTAGGTCATGGACATGGCACCGTACCAGGTGCTGCCAGCGACCGTCAACACCAAGGTGATCAAGAAACTCTTCCACAAGATGTAGCGGATGGCAGGGGTGGCCAAGAACGTCCTGACGCACGCAGTAATGGAGCTGGTGTTGGAGATGTGGGGGTTCTGGTCGATCAACTGGTTCAAGTGGCTGGTGCTGGTATCGCCGTTGACGTTAGCCTCGTAGATCAAGATGGACGTGTGATACACGTTGTGGAACTGCTTGACGATGCACTTCTTGAAGTACTTCCAGTAGTTGACCTTCTGAGTGGGCACGATCTGCTGGCGGACGTCGTTTTCCTCCTCCAACAAGTGGGTGCTCATGCGCTGGGCGTGCATGCCACTGCCGATGTTGTTGCTTATGGTGAACTCACGGTTGGTGGGGCTGGTGAACTTGGCGTACGTCTTGTACACCGACACCACAAACGCCTGGATGGGCCAGAACACCCACCACGAGCCGTGAGTCACCAACAACAACACCACAGGCTCGGAAAACCCGAGCTGGTACGCCTGGGACGTGATTTCCGTCTGGGACACGAAGGACACCAACGAGATCACAAACGCCAAGGTGACAAAGATGATTTTGGTGCGCGAGGCATTGTAGATGGACGTGACGGAGGCCGTTTCGCTTGCGTTAGGCAAGATGGTGATGGCCATGGCTGGAGGATGTGGTGAAAACGGCAGCAATTGTGAAATTGGACCAGGCGACATGTGCGGGCGCATAACGTCATAGGCGAGTCGTGCGGGGGACGATCTGCTGGGGTATAACTGGAGTGTTTAGGATGTCTAGAAGACTGGCCACTGTAGGGTAGATTGACGTTGTCTGCCACGGCCTAGGTTAGTATTGTGGCTTAAAATCATAGTAGTTCGATTTGGGTGGATATCAAATTCTGTAGATGTAGTACATCCAGGTGGTCGGTGAGCCGAACTTTGGTTCTTAGACTATCGACAGAACTTCAATGGCTATTTCTATTCCAACACTCGTGCTGCCTTACAGCAACTCTGGCCCAACACCTCTTATCACACTGAGAAAATGAGAGATAAATCAATTAGCTCCAAGCAAGCATATGAAGCTATCGCATACAATAATGATTCAGGTTTGATTTATTACCAGATGTTGGTTTTCATCGCTATCCTGGGTATTGGCTGTCAACGGAATTTCTGATTGATCTGATCCTTGAAAAGAAGTCGGTGTTTCTCACCGATAAGTCACTTGTAAGCAGTAACGAGATATCCACAATTCATCGAGGTACAACCAAAATTCAGAGGATTGTAGTAGGATTTTTTGATCCCACTAGTCACCCCTTTATACATTCGAGGAAATGATCCTTCACTCATCGATATGGACCGATGGCGGAACTGACTCGCTTTTCATCACTTACCCAATGGCTCCCACTGGCTTCAAAGTAATGACTGTCAAAAAAAACTGCCCAGCTTGGCCCTAATGCAAATTCTGAGCTCTAGTTTCACTTTTCATGCATTTCCCCAAATTCCAAGCAATAGCTAGGACAGGAATGAGATGCCACTTTTCATTCACTTATATGTGACAGTGAATCAGTCCACTTATATTTGCCAATGAAATCTATTTCTCTTGGGTACTGATTGCAGTGAAAAGTCACTCTTCATTCACTTATACATGCCAATGGTAGTAACCCCTTCATCCAATATGTGCAGTGAAATTAGCAGCAATTATCTCTAGCAACTGCTAAATTGTACAGTTATGTCCCCACTCTTTACTTGAATGTTCCAGTAGGCAGTAAAAGTGATTCCCACTTGAATAACATCGTCACGGAATTGTTGAATTGTGGATCTTTCACCAAAATGGTGGATTGGATTGGAGGGTGTTGGTATATTATGCTGTATTATGCTGTATTGCTGGTTGTGTGGTTTGTGGTTTATTATGCTGTATTGCTGAACTTCTGGGTACCAGATTTCTGATTTCTGATTCCTTTTCCTGATTCTGTGCTTAGTCACTATCACTCTCGTAGTCCAGCTCGTCTTCCTCTGACTCGTTATCCACATGGTACGTCCGTGGCTGCACCACGCCCTGCTCCACCAACTGCTGGCGTGGCACCATACGTGGAAGCATCAAGTCTGCCACACGCTCCTTGGTGAGAAGCTCGTCCGCCCACACGTCTATGTAAGTGAGCCCATAATGCACAGGGATGGAGTCATCGCTGAACTGGGGGTTTTTGTGCCGGATCCGGAGCTTGCGCAGGTCCAGCAAGTATGGCTCGAGAGTGGTATAGACTTCTGCACTTGTCGCTGTCAACCGCACGTACATCATCACCATTGCTGTCAAGTACTTGAACTGGTTGTACTCCAATTGGGTGAGATACACCTGAACGATGTCTGCGGACGGAGCAAGCTCCAAGAGACGGAGAAGACAACACACGAACGGTGATGGCCTGCCCAATGAGTCTGTTCCAGCCACGTAGTGGACGTGAGACACGATTATCGGAAGAATTGTGGCTTCATTGGTGAGGTAGAGATGCTGCTTGTAAAACACGGAATCCTGGATTCGGTGGCGCACGATGGGCTCCACCAAGTTGGCATTGTTGAGCACGAGCCGCTTGTCTGTGTAGGTCGGGCGATGGCGGGTCTGGGCGTCGGTCATATGATGGAGAGGATGGTGATGGAGTTGGTTGATGGGTTCCAAATGCGACATTCCCCACGACACCGCGACATGAATAGAGTGCCATTACAGAAATGTCACTGTAAGCGAGGAACCGGCAGAACTGGTGATAAGATATGTGATCCCACTAGCTGTGGTTGAGGAACTGAACTATCTCCACCCACATTACTTTACCAGCTACAATAGCTATATTGATTTCATCACTGTTAGAAAAGGCCTGTGTGCAGGCTAGGAGGGACTTTATACACTTAGAGTTGTTTTTGATTTAACTTGAAATAATTACTAACTATTTAGTAGTGGAATTGACACGAAAATCCCATCAATTCACCACAATATTTGCCAGAATCACTATTTCTCCAATTCACTCAATTGAGCAAAATATTTTCTTAGTGCTGCTTTAAGTGGAACGTAGTCTGGGACATATCCGTACCTATTTCCACTTAGCCATTGCATTCATGATTTATGGCGCAATAAGTAAAAGCACCCGACGTAAAAATGAAAATCACAACTGCCACAAATTCTCAATTGCCCCAAATTTAGTATAGCTGTTAACTCCTGCCTACATATGAATAAAATAAAAGAGGATTTAAATGAAGATAATCAATAGATATAATTTCGATCCTCACTAGACTGACTTTATTCCTTTCCGCATTAATATTGATATAGTTGGTTTCTTCAGAAATGAGCAGTCTGTTTGATAGCTGATGCTCTGCGAAATACCTACTGACCAGAAGGAATTGAGAGCCCAATGTCACTTGAAAACCAATTGCCTCAAATATCCAAATGGCACTTGAACACGAAAAGAACCAAATGACAAAAAGACTCCAAATGCCAAATGGCCCCAAATGCCAAATGGCACCCACCTGGTCGTGTCTGCCCAATGTCCAATGTCGCATTCACCTCAAACACATCAATCCACCCCGTCACCACTCTCCCTACCGCCATGTCGTTCAATTTCCCTAAGTTCAGCCTCCAGTCACTCCAGGACTCGCTTCCCTCCGTGGACCTGGTCAAGGAGTCGTTTTCCAAGGTCAACACCACCAAAACTGTTGACCTGTTCAAGGAGTCTCTCCAGCCATTCACCTCCAAAACCACCCAATTGATATCGTCCCAGTTGCACCAAGTGCAACAGTTGGCATCGTTGAACGTGGCGTCCAACATCGAGATCAGCGAGTTGCCTGCCGACTACTTGGAGTTGGAGACCAACTGCGATCTCTTGTTGAAGTTGTACACCGACTTGATTGTGGTCACTGATAACACCTACGCCAAGGTGTCGTACGACTATCCACCTGGCAACTACGCACTCACTAAGTTGAAGGACGCCAACGTGGGTGGCATCATTGGCTCCAAATTCCAGCAGTTGAGAAACGTCTCCTCTCCCCAGGAGTTGGAGAAGATCCTCTTGGGTTCCTCTGACGATCAACAAGAGGACACGCACGTCCAGACAACCTCCGCGGCCATCCCCAGGACCTTGTACGGACAATTGTCTGTGATTTCCCAGAAGCATAGCGACGAATTGAAGGCTTCTGACAACGCGTTGTCGTTGGCTCTCCTCCAAGTGTCCTCAGCTTACCACGAAATTGCGGCCGCCAGATTGGACCAGGACAAGCACATCATGGACGAGTTCAATGCCAAGTTGGTCGCCATCTTGAACGACCAGTTCGTTAAGGTCAACGAGTTGCGCAAGCGTGTGTACTCTACCAGATCCGAGTTCGACGTGCTCAGAGCCAAGTTCAGCGACGAAGAGGAGCAGGAGAACGAGGAGTTGATCGCCAAGGAAGATGAGTTGGTCAGTGCCACCGAGGAGGCCGTTTTGGAGATGAAGAAGTTGTTGAAGCCTTCCAAGAACGTCAACTTGTTGAAGGTTTTCGTCAAGGCCCAGAAGGAGTGGTTGGAATTAAGTGCCAAGAAGCTCGACGCGGTCTTGTCCAGCTTGGACAAGATCGATTTCGACGAGGAAGACGACCTCGAGTAGTTATTTATGTATGCCAATGTTATAGATTATGAAACCTCTCCCAAGTAGCCGGTCACGTGTGTGATACCCACTAATTTTTCAATTTGAGCTAAAACTACAACACCACCACCATGTCCACCACCGAAGCTGAGAAGCAGCAAAAGGCTGCCAACTTACAGAACCAGTACAACCAATTCCAGGAAATCATATCGGAGCTCGAATCGCAGCTTATTTCGATAACGTCCAAGATAGAAGAGCACTTGATTGTGGACAAGACCTTGAACGAAACCCCCAAGGAAACCAGAGAAAATAGGAAGTGTTTCAAGATGGTAGGAGGGGTGTTGGTCAACAAGACTGTGGACGAGGTGATCGCCATTTTGAAGGAGGAGTTGTCTGCGTTGGTGAAGGAAAAGAACCAGCTCGAAGAGCTGTTGATCAAAAGCAGAAAGGAGAGAGAGGAATGGATGAAGAACAACAATGTCAAGATCGTCAGACAGAACTAGGCGAGGATTCACGTGGAGCATTACGGAGTCAGAAGGCAAGAGCTCGGAGTCCAGTGCATTATTGGTGAAATGAATTCCTATTCACTACCTGGGAACATCCAACAATTCCACGTTATTTTCACTCCCGAATCACAGAACGGCTCATAGATGTGTTACATCGGCTGCTACATCTTCCTTGCATAACATTGTACCTATAAATTGGAGCAGAACCAGCCCAGTCGTATATAGCTAATAAATACCCTGCACAGCATCTGGACCACGCCTAGGCAGCTATCGTCCTCAAGTACTCCTGCCTGGCCTCGGAGTCCCTGTTTAAGTCCCTGTTGATGGCCTCCCACTTAGGCTCGTCCTTGAACAACCTGATGGCCTTGACGTACTTGGCCTCATCTGTCAACGTGAAACGGTGGTAACAGCCCAGTGGCAACACCAACAAGTCGTGGGGAACCAACTTGGTTCTGATCCAGCGGTCTTCCTTGTCCCGGACATCGAAGTAGCCCTCGCCCTCCACCACGTATCTGATCTCCTCGTCCTCGTGGTAGTGCTCCTTGTAGAACTTCTTCATTTGGGCGTTGAAGGCGTCGAGATCGTTTTTGAACGTCTCCACGTTCAACTTGACGCTGTCTCTGTTCTTGTACTCTCTTTCTTTGGCAATAGCATTCAACTCATCTTCGGTGTCGACTCTGCGGTAAAACACGCCAATACTCTCCAATTGCTCCAAGGAAACGGGGATTCCCGAATTGTGCTCCTTGGTGAAGTCAGACTCGGTGTCTTTGTTGTCGTGATAGAATGCTTGAACCATTTTGGTGGATTGTGCCAGACTGGAAAGTGGTGGAGATATATGGAAGGGACCCGTGGGGATCCTGCTGACGTAAGCGGCTGACTATTGCGGATCGCTAATTTGTGAGACCCTGGCGCATGTGTTTCTGGAGGAAGAGGAGAAGATAATTCTGGTAGGAGGGCAATGGTCGCTTAGCCAGTTCTGTGTCTGATCCGTTTCGTGCTGGCCCGAGGAGACTCGCTGGCAGGCCCTGGAAGCGGTACAACAACCAGCAGAGTGGATACCGCAATAAAACGTGATTATCGATAGGATCTGGATATGGAAATGTAAAAATCGGGGCTAGAAAGGTATGCAGGACTTGTCACAGTGGTCGCTGCACTGGTGATGTATTTTTTTAGTTTCTACCTGGGTAGGAGTGAATTGTTGAAGATTAAATCCACTTGTGACTGCTTCTTCAATCACAGGGCATTCTCTACTAGCGAAAGCTGGGTAGAAGTACAAACAATTTGGATGCGCTGGAAGCTGGGGTCGTGACAGCTACTTTAGTTTCCTTGTGTACAATTAAGGCAGTAGGAAGGGATTTGGGAGATTCAGTAGCTTCATCACAGAATTCAATCTCGAGAAATCGGATGGATTGCGAGTAGATATCTAATCCTTTTGTGAATGGCAGCTTGAAGGAATTCGCCTACACTTCGTGTATCGGTCGCAATGTTTTATCGATTCCCCAACATTAAAGTTTAAGCAGTCTACCAAGATACTTCTCTATCAATCTAAAATACTCAAGCTCAACCATGGGTGGTGGGAGATATTCTTGTGAAGAAAAATGTCCACCCTGGGCGAGATTTGTTCAGCCGAAATAAACGGGGCTAAAAGTATTTAGGTACATATATTGTAGCAGAAGATATGCAGAACTTGACAATTAATATTGCACTTCTCCACTTCTTTCTAAAGCATCGAAGATACGGAAATTCCATGTTCTTGAACTACGGATTCACTTCGGGAAAATCCACCCCCCGCAGCATTTCACTTCGGGAAAAGAGGGTGGACCCCGCACCATATTTTCTGCCACCAGTGCTATAGCTGTGGCAGGGTCTCCTCATTGGAGAACCGGATCAGGGAGCCACTATGGTGCTTCGTCAACCCAAACCAGCACATTATGGTTAGTTAAGTGTGTATCTGTTCGTCTCGTATATATACGAGACAGGGTTTGGCTATTCTTGGTATTATTATACGGTCCCCTAACTCCTGCCGTGTAATGCAGGGTATCAGGGAGATGTCAACCTCACCTGGAAGACTGGCTAGAAAATATTTAAGTACCTATATATAAGACCAAGTATCCATATTCTGAGCTGTTTTGTGAGGTACCATATTACAGACTCCAGTGTGGTGTAACCCTATTGCTGACTACGCAACTAACCTGTCAGTTTCATCAATTTGTTTAGAATGAGTGGGGGTCATATTTCAAGCCGAGGAATTACCGTACGTTGTTCCTTCCCTAATGGAACTTGGGGGCCATGGGCGACTCTCAGGTCAGACCAAGACTCTTGGTGCGTAGATACTGACGGTGCAGCAGGTTATGTACTAGTCAAGGCACCATTAGTAGGAGAAAAACTAAAGAACGATGCTACTAGTGTACGTTCTCCATTCAAATTATGGATACTCGTTTTACTGCTCACAGTAGTCTTTTCCGTTTTAGATGTAACCTAGGTCCAGGTGATCCAATTAATTGATGCATAGCACTCGAATTTAGCCAAGAAGTTCGAGGGAAACTATAACTAGTTTGTTCCAAGAATGGTATAGAAATGGTATAGAAATACATACTCCTACTAATCTTGTGAATTTTCATACTTTTGAGAAAGCGAATATTTTAGCGATAATGAAGTAAAGAAAATCATTAATCTAAAAAATTAGAAATATACGATCGAAAAACAGTTTTTAAAGAAAGTTCTAGAAATTGGCAAGGCCTGGGGTGGATGCAACTGGCACAGATCTACTCAGTCTCCCACCAACCTCAGCTTAACTACAATTGAAAATTGTGATTTCTGCTCGCATTCGCTTGACCACAAGAAGGGAATCCTCCATTATATTTCATAATCTTTCTAGACAGTCCCCGACGCCGTCTACTGGGGATTAATTACCCCACGCCAGCTCTCTTGCTCTTCCAACAATTGGTGGTGCAGATTCATCTATTTTCCATTTTGAGTTTGAAACACCCATTATTGAAAATTAAAAAATCCACTAGAACCCTAGTTCAACCCACATGTAGCACCACTACCCGATTTCACACCTTTAATGAAACCTATGAACCAGTTTTGGGCCTGAATACCCCCAATTCTCGCTTGTTTGCAACTCTGCTCTCCAGCCATTTGGCGTGCTATCACCGGTCGCTGCGAGTATCTATCAAAAAATCCATCCCACTCTAAACCATCACGACATGTACAACCGTAACCAGGATGCCAGGAAGGAAAGGCCGCAGTATAACCTGAACCTCGAGCAGCAACTAGCATCCCAGGAAAAGAAAACCTCGTTCAGAAGAACAGTGGACCATGGTAACAACATGGGACGGTGGTACATCCACAAGAGTCTTGGGTTGGCCAACCGTCAACAGCCAATTGGCAAGATCAGACCCGAGTCATCGTACTTGATCGACCTCTTGCCCAGCTTGGCATACTCGTCGTCGCTCAACCTTGACAGCCAGGCCAACAGCAACAATATGGCCATCATGGACTGCCAGACTAAGTTCGTGCATTTGTCCTCCAATAAGGTCAAGCACTCAATCAACACCGTCAAGTGGACGCCAGAGGGCAGACGGTTGGTGGTGGCCTCGCACAGCGGAGAGTTCACCATCTGGAACGGAATGACGTTCAACTTCGAAACCATTATGCAAGCACACGATCTGCCCATTTTGTCATTGACATACTCCCACAACGATGAGTGGCTCCTCAGTGGAGACCAGAGCGGAGTGATCAAGTACTGGCAGCCCAACTTCAACAACGTCAACATCATCAACGGGCATTCCAACGGTATCCGAGACATCGCGTTCTCTCCCAACGACTCCAAGTTCTTAACGGCTGGCGATGACTCGTCGCTCAAGATCTGGAATTTCAACAACGGTAAGGAGGAGCGTACACTCGCGGGACACCACTGGGAGGTCAAGAGTGCTGACTGGCACCCCAACTTGGGGCTCATAGTGAGTGGCTCCAAGGACAACTTGGTCAAGCTCTGGGACCCACGCTCCCCCAACTGCATCACCACGCTCCACGGATTCAAGCACACGGTTAACAAGACCCGGTTCCAGACAGCAGGCACCAAGCGATTGCTTGCTACTGTCTCCAGAGACAGATCGTGTCGAGTGTTCGATTTGCGAACCATGAAAGACATCTTGGTGTTGCGAGACCAGGACTCAGACCTTTCTTGCGTGTCGTGGAACCCCATCCACCCGTCGTTGTTGACCACAGCTGCCTACAACGGATCCATGAACCACTACCTCTTGGACTCCTACATCCCAGATACAGCCTCCACCAAGACCAAGGTCAACCCGTACAGCACGCCATCCGTGGGGCTCGAGTCACTGCACAAGATCCCCTATGCACACGAAAAGGCCATCCATGCGTTGGAGTACCATCCTTTGGGTCATTTGTTGTGTTCTGCTGGTTCGGATAAAACAGCGAGGTTCTGGTCCCGAGCAAGGCCCAACGACCCCATGTCGTTCAAGGATGCATTGTACACGGACGACAAACAGGGAGCCTGGTACTACACCGTGAACAACAATATCAATGCTGTGATCGAGGATCCCGATGCACCAGCAAAGGCCACGGTGTCGTCTCCCACCAAAAATGGTTCCAAGGACGAGAAACCCGCTCCCAGCTTCAACTTGCCTGGCTTAAACAGTTTGGGCAACTACGGAAACGGTGACGAAGCCTCGTTGTCGGGAATTCCGGGGTTGAGAGGTTAGAGACGATCTGTCATGGGAAAAGGTAACAGGAAAAAGTAGCACCATACAAACCGACAGAAAAGCACGAGACGACGACTACAACAATGGATGGGGCGAGAGGGTGGCTTAAAAGAGGCACCCAGGAGCACCGATGCAGGTATCTAAAGAGTAAGTTTAAAGTGGTTCGAAGCTTTTCAAAGAGGCTTCCAGCTGACATCAAAGAGTATTACCCTGGCAAAAATATAGTTTAGAACTATGAGCTCACGAGAGTCGATGGAAGCGTCTGGGCGTTCAGCGGCAAAATCCTCAAGTCCTTGCTTTTCGTCTATAATAATAGAAGTCGGTGCATACTACAATGGCAAGCAGAAAACCGCCATTTCCAAGGCGTGCTAGCGGAGTTTTAGCCGAGACCGAGGATCTTCAGGCACGATGACCAACTGGTTTTGCCGCAGCACAGCAGGCCTACATCTTGATGGAACAATAGCCGACGGCAGCTCCATCGTTGGCATCGCAAGGCAAGGACACCTTGCTATTACCAGTAAAAATGGGGGTAACTCAGGGTCGCAATGATGATTTTTCTCAAGGACATGAAGGATTTCCGGCCTACAATAATGTATTCTCCAAGATATCTCACTAGTAAGAAGAAATTCCGTCCTCATAGAAGTCTTCAAGGTTATCACTGGTAAATGTCAAGAATGCTCTAGCCTACGATAATAGTATTCTTCAAGGACACCTCACGGGTAAATATTCAGAAAACTCCGGATTACAATAATGAAATCATCATTTCCAATGAATATTAAACTGGAACTCCAATGAGATTCTCCAAGATTACCCTTCAGCTAGAAGGACATCTCAGATTTTCATTTGGGTGTCCCGCTACTCCAGAAACTCTAGGTCACAATTTTTTAAAGATCTCACTGGTAATATCAAGAAGAGCTCTCAGGCACAACAATAATATTATCAAAAGGAAAATTTATATGATATTCCCCAACGATCTATGGTTAAACCAATAAGGATCTTCAGATCTTACTGGTAAAAATTCAGGGCCACAAGTCTAATGATGATTTCCAAAGATCACTGGTAAATATAAAAAGGCCTTCAGATCTTACTGATAGACGTTCCCACCGAATACCAAGAAGAATTCGTTATATCATTCTAATGGCAATTTACCAGTCCAGAAATATCATTGATCAAGAACTCCGGCCTACTCGAATGATTCTCCAGAATCACTGGCGAATATGAAGAGTCCTGCCTCGCAGTTTTCCAGGAAGATCCTGTCTACATTTCACTCCCCATGCTCGAACTACAACTCGTATCCAATAATTTATCCATTCCCAAAACCTTTCTATAGAAATAAACCTGCTATCCAGCTATACCTGCGGTGGAGTTCTTGTAGAACGCCTCCACCGCCTCAAAATACCGTTTGCCTTCGGTGTTGTAGTAATTGCTCTCGAAGTGCATCAACATCAAGTAAAAGTGCGTTTTCTTGAACGAGTCGTCAAGGCTCCAGTTGTCGAAGGACTCACCTGCGTTGCACACCCGCACGTACATTGCCAAGGGGTAGTGAGCCAACTCGTCGCGCACTATGGGCTGGTACACCTTGTGGTAGTGGCGGGTGCGCACCTTGAAGTCGTTGACTGCCGTGAGGTAGTCCTTGTCGTGGTAGTCGCGGTTGTGTGCTTTTCCGCTTATGTTGAAGTTAAGCAAGTGGGGCTTGGTGCACTGTACGTCTAGCACCACCACGTGTGGATTTATGCCCGAAGCACGGATGGTGTCGAACATGCGGCGACGGCGGTCGATGGTGGTGTTGGTTGCGTCCAAGAATCCCACCTGGGTGGCACCCCTCCGCAAGTCGTGGAGGAGGTTGTGGAGGTTGATGTCGGCGTACATCTCGCGGTCCATGCGGCCCTGGAGGTTGTTGGGGTTGAAGAAGTCCGACGTGTGGAAGCTGCTGTTCTGGCGACGAATGTCGCCAGCGTTGTAGATGGCTGAGGTGTAGGGTGTACACGTGCTGACGAACTGGTGGATATGGCGGGCCAACGTGCTCTTGCCAGAGGCTGGCAACCCCACGAGCATCACCACCAAGCAGTCATGAGGGACTGCAAAGGGCTCGGGGCCTGGCGAGTCGTGGCGCGAGAGTGTGGGAGTGACTGAGGCCATGGAGGTCACTGTGGACGTTGAGGCGACCTCGAAAAGCGAGTTGATGGAAGTGCTAGAGTCGTAGGAGGCGATGGGGGGGTCCGTGAAGGCACCCGGGTCGGACCACGGCGAGTTCATGGTGGAGTTGTGTCGAGGACGAGTAGGAGAAGTGTGGGTTGGAGATTTGAGGATCTGGCGTGGGCAATAATATATATGGAAAGGGCTCGTCCGTTGTTCCGCATCGGTGGCATGCATTAGTCACTTCGGCCAAAATTTTTCCGGTCGGAGTTGATGGATCCCAAATAGGTAGAATTGGGTTTGGGCAGCGTGCAGCGGACAGACGGGATGCGGTGGAGATGCGGATGAGATGCGGATGGACGCAGACGGGGCGATGCCTGCCGGTGCACGTCACGGGTCAGGACGCTTGTAGTGGCAGCTGGCGGGGCTAGCTGTGCTTGCTGGGCTGCCTGGTGGTGGTAGTGGTGGTGGTAGGCGTGATGCACGCGTGTTCTACCACATGGTCCCGCTGGCCCTGTGGTGGCCTCCTCGGCTGACTGCTCCCCTCTTCCCGCACCAACGGCTCGTCAGCGGCGCCACGTGCACCCTGGGTCACGTGCACCGGACCAGGGGATGCCACCAAGGCGCTCAACAGTAGGCAACTACGTCACCTTATCGCTATGGGTGTACACCACTGCCTCTGCGTCCTTCTCAGCCCATGCGCGGGCCCGCGCCTGGCCGATCTTAGAGTAGGTCCTCACAACGTCCTCTCGCAGCTCGCCTTTCGTCTGGTCCCTCTTAGACGTCCCAATGGTGATGGTTTCTGCTGCGGTCGCTAGCATGTCCACGTACTCCTTGCGACTACGTGCCTGCACTTTTTCATTGGAATTATCCATTTTGTGGATGGTGTAATTGACAGTCCACTCAGCACCAACCCGTTGAGGGTACGGGCAGCGCGTGGTCACTGCCTTGCCATCGATGGTGTGACCATCGATGTCAACGTAGTAGGAGTGGACAGTCTTTTTGGCGGTGGTCTGCTCGTTGAATCGCTTGAGACGGTCGCAGTGAGCCTGGAGATTTTGCGCCCGCTCTCCAGCCAGAATATTTTCCTTGAAACTGGTGCGGAAACTGTCAGGAAACGATTGCAAATTCTTAATATCGGAGTCTGTGACTGGCACGGCGTACACGTAGAGCCTGGTGGCTGCATTGCGGCTAATGGGCGTGCTCTTCATCACCATCCGGAACCCGGTGTCAGGAAGGCCCTGGACTATGGTGTCCAACAAGTCCTGGTAGATGTGCATGGACATGGCGAACTGGCGTTCAGCCACGTACGTGGGGAGGCCATCGTTCAAGTGGCTGAGATCAATGGCTTCTGGGTCCAATTCCAGCAAATTCTCGGGAATGCGGTGCTTGTACTTCTCCACACCTTCGTGGTTGTAGAACACCTCGTCGAGCTGCTGTAATGGAAAGTACTGGAACCCAAAAAACGAGTTGATGTTGTGGTACGCCACGTAAATGCCGTCCATCTGCCCAATCCGGGCTTGGAACGAGTACTTCAACAACGCACCCGTCCGCACCAAGTCCCGGTACTCCTTCTCAAACGACTCATACTCTCCGTTTAATCGCCAAATCTGGTAGTTGTTCTCCTCGATGTCGGGATTGGAGCTATCGTATCTAATGGAACAAGCAGCCCTCGTCTTGAGATCAAAAGTACCGTTTCCTGGCAACCTCGAGTCGTAGCAATCCAACTGGGACCGCAACAAAAACTTCCCAATGCCAGCATAGTTGTACACATTTTCGAGCTGCTCTTGTGCAGATACTGGATCGGAACTATTCTTGTTAAATCTTTCAAACTCCTTTTCTTCGGTGGTTAATAAGGTCTCCAAGCAATGTCCCATCGCAGACAACAATATTTCATTGTCGTTGGATTTATCCGATTCGATGGAGTATATTTTACCAGAAGCGTTCGTTCTTGGTTGAATAATTGACGAGCTGGGTAATGAGTTAACAAGCCCAGAGAACGGGGTGAAGTTAAATCTGCTTGTCTTAAGAGGATCGTAATTGTTTAGTAAAAGATAAAACTGAATAAATGTAGCTGTCATGGATGAAGTAGAAGAGTAATATTTCTTTTTGTGCTTCTCGGCCATCTTGAGGAGAGTCTGATCTTTCGATACCCTTTGAAAAGTGCTGATGGCATTGAAATTGAAATCTTTGTATTTGATGATCTTCTTCAAAAATGGAGGAAAGTTGTAAACTCTGGTTCTAGGATCCTGAAGGAAGTGAACTCCAGGCGAGAACAACGATTTGTCAAGATTATGTGCCAACTTTGGTATATTTTTATGATCCAACTTCTCTGCCTGCTGTAATCTTATATCCAGGTCTGTCTTTCCCAGTAAAACACAGTGTGAATTTTTGTTTTCAAATATAACTTTGGGAGATGGGATCCGTGGCTTTGAAGCTGGGGACTTAACGTGTCTCGAGACTCTATTAACGTCTGGTATCACTGGAACCGGTCCCCTTTTCTCAGTTTCGCTGGGCTTTCTGGGAGCCCAGTTTTTGGACTTGAATTTGAAAAGGTTGTTCCTCTCCTCCTTGGTTAAACTGCCCATCTCTCGTATTCTCTTCCTCCGCATCCCCACCATTTTCTCGTTTATACTAGCCCTGAACTTAGATCCAGAGGGACTAGTATCCTTCTCGTCGTCATCGTGTATAAGGTCTTTCTTCTTCTCCTGGTTGGACAAGTTGATAGCTCTTCTCACGCCTTTGCTCAACACGTTGTTGTCCAATTCCTTCACATAGCGCTTGTCCACCTTACTAGGACGAGATGTTGGGATAGACGTGCCGTCATCTTCGCTGCCGAAAGACTTGATTTCTTTGTCATTCGGTACAATTCGAAACGTACCCTTCAATGCACCTGTAAGGTCGATTGGCTTTTGCTTTTTGATATATTTTCTTTTCGGCACGATTGCATCGGCATTTGTGCTTGATGATTTGAGCCTATGGGTGACGAAGCTTGTTGTTCGCCAGAAAAATTGTCTAGACCATCCGTATGTGAGCACGAACATTGTAAGGGCCGTGGGTGGAGTTAGAAGGTGGAGACCAACAAAATTCAGATCATCTCAAACGGTCGTGGCAATTCCCGCATTCGCATGGCATGCCAAGAAGCAAATTGTAGATGGCGATGGGGAGGAAGGTAATACCAATAAAATACTATGTTGTAATGTGAAGTACATTTCAGGAGTTCCTGGTGATGCAAACAGATGAATTTGGGTGGGAGTTTGCTTTTGAAAGGTCAGGGAAATTGTAAGGTCAATTTTTACATTCTTCCCGAAGAACCCAAAATGGCAGAAGTAGTAAGTTAACTTTGATCCACTTCATTGTCACACCCACCCCGAAATAAATATTTTTTCCTATGTAATCAGCCTTCTTCTATTTGCTAGGGTGTATCAGCTGGTACAGGATAAAACGACTTGGTGGGCAGGATTTAGGAGAGGTGTCGCCACTTAATTGTCAGATAAGATAGAGAATTCGAGCGAAATCAAGTGTAATCGAGCGTCTTACAGATTAATTGGACAGCTCTAAAGGTACTATAAAGCTATCTCCCATGCATGCATGTTTCATGTTTCGCTACTTTAGCGGCCTAAGTGTTAGTGGTCCAGCTTTAAAAAACCGTCCAACCAAAGATTATTAGAAGAAATTCAATCTATATTAGATGCTAGCTAAGCACTCAATTCGATGGTGAAGAATTTGAATGGCCTTCAAGGAGAAGTTCACAACCTCGAACTTCTTATTTGTTGAATCTTTTTGAATCCAATCGGCAATGCTAGCAGTTCTCTAACCAATAACTCGGTTTGGACTCATCAAATAGCGCACAGCTAAATCACTGGAGAATTCCGGTCTAGAGTCTAGAGTTAATGATATGAGCTTAGTATCTCTATTATAATCTCATTGCTTAATTTTTGGACCAAATACATTAGGTGAGGAGGTGATTAGCAAAACTAAAGTACGATAATAGTTCTTTGTAGGCTTAATTCGAGTCGAGAGCTAAAGTAACTCTACTCCGTATCAACAAATCTTTTTAAACTTAGCAAGTTTGTGTTCATAGAAAAAAGGTTTAAAAGATTTTTAGGTGGATATTTCTTTGAAAATTTATGGTGCCCACTTATGAATAACACTAAAATATCTAGTGTGTCGCAAGCCCTCTCGCTAATAAAGAAACTAATATTTTCTAGTCACCCTCGATCGAACATCAGAATCAATTTCCCATAAATGGTTAGGCAATCTTCAACATTAATACTGATAACGTAAAACCTAGGAATCAAATTCATGAGTTGAATCTTAAGATTTAGATTTCGACGAGTAGAGTTGGAAATCTCATAAAATTTTGTAGAATTTAAGTTGAATCCGTGAAAAATACTTCAACACCTGCATTTTATTGGAAGTATAATATTCTAGCAATAATGCGGAATATAAAACTTCAAACAGTGATATCTGATGGCTCGTTATTACATTGATTTTCTAATTTTCAGGTGGGGGTGTTTGATCTCAAAGTGAAGCATTTCATGTTTTTAGGAGGTGGACTTCAACGAGATAAGGATTGCATGCTCATTCAAGCCATTTAGAAAAAGTAAATACATACTACATTAATTATCCTCTCTTGATCTTTGATTCAGTCTTACCTAATTGAAAATTTTGTTGTTGCCATCATGTAGGCTATAGAAGATTTGCTTAACGAAAAATACAAGTCTAGCTCCATAAGGTTGGGAGCGCGGTTGGTTTTTTCGAGATTTATGATAATGTAAAAAATTGTGCCTGAGCATATTATCAAATCATCGGTAAGAAGCACGTCTAGTGGCAATTTTGCTCTCAAATCTCACTTCTAAGCCTAAACCCGCGCACGCGAAATATTGAAGTAGAAGCTTGGAAGTCTGTAGAAATGGAGAGCAAAAGCACAGTCACGAAACCGATCAATCTCGAAGAGAGTTGTTCTTCTTCAATTCCTTACTTGAAGTTACGTGTTAAGCCAAGATATGCTCTCACGCTAAACTTCGGTATCACAGATCCGGTTTAATTTCGTCAGCTAATTTTATTGAAGTTTTACCACAGGCGTGAAATTCATGCAATCTGTTTGGGGAGCAATAGAAACTATACAGCAAGCTAATGCTACAACACGGCACGGCTCTACCACTACGGCACGACTAACACTATGGCACGACTCTACTACAATAGCGACAATATTACCCGAGCATTATTACCCAAAAACGCTTTCAGAAAGAGCCGCTACACTTAGTTCCACTCATCAAGAGATGTGATCCTATGGTTTTAATGCAATTTCACGCTCACAAGCGCGTTGCGTGACTAAATTGATGGTCATAACCATCCCTCAACCATCGGAAAATATGGAACTGTCCCAGTTGTAATTGATCCTCCTATCGAAAGCGGCTGCAGAGTGAGTTCCATCCCATGTTGGTCGAAAAGATTAATCTTTAGGCTTGTTGGACTCCTGAGGTCCTGCACCGCTTGCTGGACATAGATAATAACCAGAAATATAGATAGAATCAAAGCGAGCCTAATTGGTATATTCAACTGTCAATAAGGACAATTGAAGACCAAATACCAGACCTTGGACAAGTGGGTTACAAGGGTTTTAGACTGAGCCACCCTACTGAGTTTCGGCTATTTAGTAGGGGATTGTGGGGGAGCATATTTAGACGCGCGTACTGCAGCGCAATTATTCTGTATGTATGTTTCGGTCACTACTGCGCAGCATGGCCTTTTCTCCGCATTAGCATATGCTGCAGTTGTAATAAAATTCCCCAACGACCTCTTGTGTCGTGTCGAGCGGAGATATCAAATGTTCGGAAAATACATACGTGAATTTCAGGGTGTATTGAGTCATCTGCAGAAAGGGCAAATAAATTCTGACTCGTCATTTCTCGTAAACCTTGTGGCTTTTAGTTGAACTAATTGAATACTCGCTTCCCTATCGGTCCCGAGGCTGTGAAATGTTTACGCGAAATCAACTGCTCGCAAAATAGTGCAACAGTATCCAATGAAACAAGCTAAACATCGCGCAAACGAAAAATAAGGTTATGGTTAAGGTTTTCGCACTAAGCTAAATTCGTATTGATTGGAAACTCTATGAGGTTGCCTAAGACCACACATCCGCTCAAGAAGACGCAGAGGACGATAAGTGGAAATCTAAGGTTTGTACTGAAACGAAGAACTAAGACGGTGGATCACGGCACACAAAAGCTATCGAAATACTATACCATAGACCACACTTCCAAAATAGTCTTATAGTTGATGTATAGACCAGTCTGCAGCATGCTAAATTATTCCTTCGGTTTCATGCTGCCGTGTGATTGAGGGTAAAGCTGCTATGGCCCTCGTTTACAATCATTACTGCCAAGGTTGAGAGCGAAGGACAACATGGGTGTACGCTAGCATGGACATCGATCGCGACTATTCCTATCTTTGCCCCCAACTATAAACGTACGTGCCCAGTTGCCTCAATATAACACTCAGGCAGAAAAGAAACTGGATAACATATATGAATTATGCTTAACGCCTATTTCGGTAATGTTTTTACTACTTTGCGCGTATAGCCGTTCTTTGGTTCAAATACCCGATATTTTAAGTCTCACATGTGAACTATGCAGGATGCTTGGTTGCAAATATTAGTGCATAGCATGAGCACACTGTATTATCGTCTGCAAAGACTACGAAGTACTCTGAGAAAATGTGAAATCCGAGGCCAAGAAATGGGATAAAGTGATTTATTGGAAATCTATAAATTGCCAGGAATTTTCTACTTCAAGAATAAGACTCCTTCATCAACTATCATGAGGTTCTTGTCATTCGCTTTCATCATTGCCTTCATCCAGGTTGCCCTTGCTGTCCCCCTTGATTCTCTTGTCGCTAGAGGACTTCTCAAGCCTTCTGATGATCCCTTCTACAAGCCAAAAGATGGGTACGAGAAGCTTAAGGTCGGTGAAATTATTAACTCCAGACAGATTACAAACCCATATGGGATTGCGATTCTTAAGGAGAGAATCCAATCTGCCTACCAATTGTTAGTTCGTTCTCAAGACTCTTTCGGAAACCCAAATGCTATTGTTACCACCGTTCTTATTCCTCACAACGTTGACAACACTAAAATTTTGTCTTACCAACCTGCAGTTGACACCCCAAGTCCAGACTGTGCTCCTTCTTACGCATTACAACTTGGATCAGACCCATCCACTTGGATCACTACTCAGATCGAGCAAGTTCTTTCTGAGGCTGGTTTATATGAGGGTTGGATCGTTGTAATTCCCGATTATTTAGGACCTAAGGGTGCTTACGGTGTTGGTTTACAAGCTGGATATTCTACTTTAGATTCTTTGAAGGCAGTCGTGTCTTCTAATTCTATCACTGGAGCTAGTAAGGATGCTCAAATTGTTCTTTGGGGCTACTCTGGTGGTTCCCAACCTTCACTTTGGGCTGCTGCTTTGGCACCTAACTATGCACCTCTGTTGAAAATCCTTGGTGCAGCAGCAGGTGGACTTATTATTGATTTAGAAGCCATTGCAACAAATGCTATGAAGTTCCCATGGGCTGGCCTCGTTATCAATGCCATCAATGGACTTGCAAATGAATACCCAACCTTAAAGCAATATGTCAAGGATAACATTTACCCAGCAGCCCAACAAAAGTTCTTCAGCGTTAACAACCAATGCTTGATCCCAAGTGCTTTAAGCAATCTTTTCTCCAGCTGGAATCAACTTACTTCATTGGGTGCAAGCGTTCTACAACAACCAGCCGTCAAGAGTGTTACTTCTGCTAATAACTTACTCAACTTGAACGCGAAGCCATCCATTCCATTGTTTATTTACAATGCTAAATTTGATGAGATTATTCCAGCTCGCGAAGCTGACAAGTTATTCTCAAAGTGGTGTGCTCAAGGTGTTAGTATTCAGTACAACCAGGATTTACTCAGTGAACACGCTACTCAAGCCATTTTTGGTGCTGGAAGTGCATTCAGTTGGATCAAGGATAGATTCAAAGGTAAAAAGCAAACAGGTTGTAACAAGAGGCCCACAATTTCAAACGCGTTGAACTTCGAATCTCTTTTTGGATTCAATAGTATTATTAGCAGTGCTCTTAAGACACTCTTCTTCCAATTAGCTGGCCCTCGCTCTAAAGCTTCCGCACTGTTTGCATCAGTTGCAAACATTGCAGAGCTTCCAGCCAAGGGTAACGACACTGCTGAGGCTACTAGAACTATTGTACAAGGAGTTGCCACTACCTTTGCCCAAGCGGACATCGATGCAGTTGCTTCCGGCAAAGCTGTATTAGTCAACGCACCCACCAGTGCTGCTTAATCTTGATACCTTTTCTAAAGTTTTCTTCACGCGGAAGCGTCAATCGATTGGTGGGCTACAAATAGACTTTAGCTTACTTCTATAGCACTAATCAAATTTTATTGTAATTCTTTGTATATTAATCAGAAAAGCTAATTAAATCTTTGAATCAAGGTTATGCATGTAGTAGTACTGGAAAGTTCTTTGATACACATGGGGTTCATATGTTCTCAGAGATCTTTCCTCTTTCATATGAGCCAATAGTTCAATAACACATGTGAATTATTGATGTGTACGAATATGGAGTTACTGAATATCTAAAACCGCGAGGGAACATTTGAGTTTGAACCGAGAAGTAAGTTTTGCTCCTGTAGGTTTACATCCAGGCTACAATAGGATTGTATACAGATCAGTGAAATGCTTTCGTTACATATCCTTGGTCTAAATCGTTGGAAGCAAGAGCACATGCTATTCTAATTTGAAATTGGCGTGGAAAACATAAATACGAACACAGTCGAGCCTTGAAATGGTCCCTTGAAGAACAGCTCTGAGGCACAATAGAGCTTGAGGCGTGCAGTAAAGCCGGATCGTGCCTAGTCATTGGCCGTGCATAAATTTCTCGGAAAATCAGAATTTAAAAAAAAAATTAAAAAAATGAAAGAACGCATTTTCGTTTTGTGCATCTGTTATGCATTAGTTCGATATTTTCTAACAGTACTTTCGTGGATATAGTTACAAAGTAAGTGTATCAGAGGCTATATAGTGCTATTTACTTATTACAGGAAGCGAGATACCCCGATAACGTGGCCAGAACACATTAGATCAATCCTTATATTTCGTGATCTGAATAGCGCTTCGTAATGGTTTGACTGAGGAGGGTGGCATTCTTATTGCTGCGCATTTGAAACGTAAAACCTACCTCTGTAAACCTCGAGAATGAAGAATAATCTTTGATTTGAAGCTACTACTATAAGAAATAACTGGGTTAATGAAGGTATAGAATCCAGAACCCGCTACTACTAGGGATTTAGGTGATTTAAGAGGAAAATGAGTCCCACTTGAGTTGCGAGTTTTCTTTCAAAGGCAAGGTAGCTTCTCAACATCCTTTACCTGAAATGTAGATCTTACCAAGTTTTCATAGCGTACTGCAAGTCAGAGCTCTCCATATGACCCCACATAATTTGATCCCAATTTAGGTAGTCGGGACACCAAAGAACATTTGCCGTTAGTTGCCTATGTGAATATGCCACACAAAAATTCTTGGATTGAAGTATTCATTTGATCAAAAGTGACAATTTGACAGAGAAGTTATCAAATGCTATTGTTGCCTGAGACTACTGATATTTTTACCAATTTGCCAGAAGCTTTTTATTACAGGCATATTTTCCACCTTCTCAGCGTGTGAATGCTGGATGTTGGGGAGATCGAGACAGTTACATGTTTTTCAGCAAGATTGGATGCCTAGAACTCTCACATAAGAACACGTTTTTGAAAATTTCTGTGGCTGTGGATCGATTGTAACGAGCCGTAAAATACCGGACATTACCGGAGGTCATCTAAGAGGGGAATTTGCAGGAGCCGAGGCTCCTGGATGTGAGCACAACTTGATGATTCTGAAAGCTCGGAATGATTCATTCAAGGCTGAATAATTATAGAGCCAGACAGCAAGCTTGTGCGTGTAGTAACTAGTTATACAAAGTTTCACAGGCGAGTTGCGGAGCTTATTTTTGATGTCGCGTTAGCCCGCGAAAAGTAATAACATGGTTAGGCTAACTACGACCCTTGTCCTGCAGGCAAAGGCGCTATTCCAAGGGTTTCCTCTTTATTGTTTATGGGGAAGAACTACACCTCTGAGGGTAACGTATATGAATGTAACTTCCATTGCAATACTAGAATTGACTTCAGCTAAGAAGAAGTCAATATTGTATATTACTCAAGTCTAAAATGTATTTTCTTAAGTGGTATCATATTGCCGCCTAGCATTTTAAACTCTGCATACTTTTCGAGTATCGGCTATTCGGTGCTGGAGTGTGGGGAGCAGATTTAAACGCGCAAGATGCAAATCAAGTATATTTTTAGGTTGCTTCGGTCGCAGCTCAGGGCTTATAGTTCTTCCACCGCATAAGCCTAGGACTGGAGCTCATAATAGAAAATACCGAAGAACTTCGTATTGCGACGAGATGTGAAAAGTTCCGATAATGCATACTCCAGTTTCAGGTTATTTTCTAGTTGACAGAAATCACCGTTTTATACCCCAATGGCATGCTATTAGTTAGTGAAGTAGGTGAAGCTTCTGCTTGATTGAGGCTAACTCACTTTAGGGTTATAGTCGGAATTGAATTTGCAAACATTCTTGCACGAAACTAGCCGGTGTGGAGTGATCTTGATGTTGGCGGCTTGTCCCAGTTAATTGTTGCTATATATTGGAAGAAACTCATTATTAAGGTTTTATAAATGCATTTGACTACTATTGTTCACTCTTCTCTAACCCGGGTAACATTCAACGCACAGAAAAGGTTTTTCTTCGTTACTAATTCATGATATTTGGGAGAGTACTTCTCTTCGAATCAAGAGATTTCGAGACTAGATTTGCCAAGTATTCCAAAGGGATATGGATCTGTATTCTCTAACAGTCTGATACAGATACTTGTCAATTCCATTAATCTCTCGTTTATCCGGTTCTGGAGGCAAAATGACTTCGGAATAATTTCTATATTGTAGACAGTAATGGGCTGATTGGGTGGCTTGGCTAACTCGCATCTTTCCTTTTGGCATCATAAGGTGTTCTGGTCTGTTCCAAGCTTATAGGGCAATGTAGAGAAGATTTACTACAAGTTAAGACTCCCTGTTTTCAAACAGTCACTTCAGAACTTTGCTAGCGTTGCAAGAATATCACCTATAGCATTGTATCTGTTTTCAATAATTCTCCAATATAGCTTGAAGATACTAATTATTTGCCTCGTCAATTATAGTAAACGTCTACCATTGCCTCAAATTCTCTCAGTAACCCTACCATATTTCCTTATAGCAACTTATTATCAAGTATGGCTTATTCTTGCCACTTATTCTTATTGGACATGATAATACCACTTTGCGCATACTGCCGTTCTTTGGTTCAATTACCCGATATTTTCGCGCTATAATGTCAAACATGCAGATGAGTGGGTGCAAATATGTGAGCCTAGAATGAAATCACTTCACAATGATAAGATTGAAGTCAGTAACGATATAATATCAGTACACAGAATTGGGTAACAGGGGGTATTTGCAAGGGTATAAATTCCCAGCTTTTTCCGTACTTATTTATTCAGAATCAGACTCTTTCTAAGATATTAGCTATGAGGTTTTTGTCTATTGCCTTCATCTTTGCCTTCATTCAGGTTGCTCTTGCTGCTCCTCTCAATACTCTCGTTGCAAGAAGTGTTCTCAAACCCTCTGATGATCCTTTCTACACCCCAAAGGCAGGGTATGAGAAACTTAAGGTTGGTGAGATCATCAATTCCAGAAAGATGAGTACTTCATACGGATTTGTTACCATTCAGGAAAAAGTTCAAGCAGTTTACCAATTGTTAGTTCGTTCTGAAGACTCCTTTGGAAACCCAAATGCTATTGTAACAACTGTTGTCATTCCCTATAACTTTGATAGCTCCAAAATCTTATCCTACCAAGCTGCTGTTGATACCCCAAATCCTGATTGTGCCCCATCTTATGCCTTGCAAACTGGATCAGATCCATCTACTTGGATCA